GTGCGCCCGGCTGTGTGAGCCCAAATCACAGGGGTGGCTCCCTGCAATGAAAGCCACGTGCTGAACAACCATTAGCCCCTGAACAGGCAGCGAAAGTGTGTGCCTTGCTCCTGACCTCCTCTGGGCACAGATACAGTGAGCCTTGGATCGTCAGGCAAAGCCCTCGAGGATCTGGATGTTTAGCAGTGACTGATGCATCAAGTTATTTAGGAAAACAGACGTGTTTCGATGCTCCAGCTCGGAATAGAGAATGTGTTTGAAACTTATGGCTTTTACAATTCCTGAAGGCTTCAAGGTCACTCTTGCTTTATATAAGTGATGGCTCCTGGATGTTACTGCTGTACCCTGGGAGAGTAGTGAAATTCTTGCACTGGTGCAATACATAAACATTCTGGAGGTTTGCTGTGCCTTGTTTCAAGGCATTTTTATTTATTTATATGTCACAGATGCGATATTTTCCCCCTAAGGGCTCTGCAGTTAGCAGGAAAAAGTAGTTAATGAAGTAAATTGTCTTGTTTTAAATCAAACATGACCCAGGTATTTGTATTCAATTAATATTTTTACTTTCATGGTTAAGACAATGATTACTGCATTTAAGGATAAGTAACTAGGATCAAACCCTGCTTTTAAATAACAAGGATGAAAACACATTTTTGATATTTTTTTTTAAGCTAATAACCAGCATTAAACCTTTAGAGTCGGTGTTTGGGCAGGAAGGACCTCTCTGATTGCTTACACATTATAGCTAATCTGTGACTGCAGCTAGTGAGCCTGCTTCAAACACCACGTGTCACAATCTGACACGCACGAAAATGTTAAATTCCGAAGTAGTATGTGGGATAGTCTAGTTTAAAAAATACTGCTTAAAATCAGAGAGTTCTCCAGAAAGTTGGGATTTAGCTTTCCTGGCTCCTTGTAGCTCACTGAGCCCAACCTAGCAGCATAACAACCCCACGAGCAGTATGGAGGGGGGGAGGAAGGGTTAAAAGGGCTCAGAGAAGTCCTTACAGAAGTGCAGAGTATTTGCAGAACTCGGTTATCACGTCTGTGCTCTGCTGCCGCATCAGCTCGGATTGTATTTGGTTATCCCGATGACAGGGCGGCGCTTACACTGGTTGATCAAATTCCTGGATTATATACTCCTGTGGAACAGAGCTTTTGGAGCACTTGGCGTTCCTGCCCTGCCAGGGCGACCCTGGCCAGCTGCCAGCCCGAGCGAGAGAGCGAAGCTGTAACTCCGGGTGCCGGAGCTATGAAACACTCATTATTACAGCGCTTCTGGCCCAAAAATGAGAGCGCCGCGAACAGGCCGGTTTCTTCCCACAGCCGGGGAGTCAGGCAGCCGGCAGCCTGTAAATGCTCCTCCGATAGATGTGTTGTTTATTTTGACAGAGTAACAGATTGTATTTGCGCTCGGAAGGCAACCGGCAGATGGTCTTTGCGCAGCCCGGTGAGGGCAGGCCCCGCTCCTGCTGAGCGGGGAGAAGCTCTCCGATCCGGCGCTGCCCGCTTTCCCCTCGCAGGGTGTTAGTTTGCAGCAGCTCTTCCCTGAACAGCCAGGGCTAAATGGCCACGACACGCAGCTGCCGTGACCCAGAAATAGGGCCTTCTAGCTGCTGGTTCCAAAAAGCGTGGTAGCTCTTTCCAAATGCTGCCTTGGTCTGAGCTGCTCTACTAAAAAATTCTTTATTCTGATGTCACAAAGCAACTCAGAATATCCCAGAAACACTTCAAGCAACAAAAACCATCCCTATAATCCTGTTAATGTTTAAGTTGAGGGTAGGCTTGTATCCACTACAGAGAAATAAGGAGGAAATCGAGTTTATGGGACTATTAAAAATCACAGCAGTAGGAAAACTGGCCTATAACTGGCTTGAAGATAAGAAGTGTTATATTGTGAAAATCTTCTATGTCCTCTCTCACACTTCTCCCGCATTCCCGTTTCCTTATGGGGAATGTTGTTTATAAACAGAAAAACGTTGCTGTAAACAGAGTGAGCTGTCCTAATGTTGAAAGTTTGCCTCGCATAAAGACTTTTTTTTCTTTTTTTTCCTAGAAAGGCCTCCCACACATTTGTGTTCCTATCACACAGCAACTATGTGATGTTAAACTGGGAATGTTTTCAGAAACTTGGGATGCTTGTTTTGCCTCATCTCAAATTATTTTTGATTACAAAGCCACGTACCATGTGCACGACTGTGAGGGTTATTGGATGCAATTATTTGTATCTGGAAATAACACAAACAAAAAAATGCTCTTCTTCCTTCTTCACACGGGTTTTATGTTGTCATTTATTTTTATGCTTAGTGCTTGAAAATCTTCTTCAGATTCCTCCTACCCTCCCAGTATGGTTCAGTACACACTGACAAGTCTACAGGTATATTTTTCCTTTGCTAAATTCCAAGCCTCATCAGGGAAGATCCAGGTAAGACTTTCCATTACCTGTAAAATATGTGAGGTTTTTCTCTTATGATTTCAAAGCACCTTGACCTTGTTTTCAAAAAGGAGTGGGGAAGAGAACAGACTCCCAAAGCATTAAATCCACAGAAATGCGTTAAAGCTCTTACTCATCGCTTAGAAAGAGACAAGATATTTTCATTTCCATTTTAATGACAGTCAAAATACAGCTGTTGTGTAGTGAAATGCCTTACCCAAGGTCACAGAGCAGCAAAACACAGGTCCTCAACTCATGCCCTTTTTCTTCAGGAGATGGTGCAATCCACCATTAATATAACCTGGGGGAATATTCCATTGCTTCTTTCCCCACCAAATCCAATTCCATACAGACACAAAACTGTTTACTTTGGCAGAGCCAAAAACCAAACCCCAGCGAATCTTTATGATTTTTTTTTTTTTTACAGCAACAAAGGGAAAGCTGAAAGCATGGATGACTCTTTACCACTCCGTTGTTCCCAGACACCCTCCCGAAGTAACACCGCGGCTTGGAGCGGTCTGGGTCGATAATGTACCTCCTAGTGCATTACAGCAGCCCTCAAATGTCTTTATTGTGAAATCGGTGCAACGACGCCGAGTATTTGCTTGCACAGGAATGATGATATAAACCCAGTTTCGTGTAGCAATGTACCTGAGCTAGAGGTGTAACCTCCTGCCTGCACCATCCATCCCGCGCTCGCGGATTTGGCGCTGCCAGGACTCGTAACACGATCGCCTATTGCGCCTCTCGGAGTTCCGAGCTCTTGAATCCTCTGTGACTGCGGGGAGGGAAAGCAAGAGCCCTGAGCTCTGGTTCGGAGGGGAGGAAGCGAACTTTGCAGCGCCCGTGGCTGAGCGCCCGGAACGCCACGCACGACACAAAGAGCCGCCGGCAGGCACTCTTTGTTAGGGCCGTTCCCGGCCGGCGTGGGGATGCTGGAATATTTGGGCTGGAGGCACGCGCGGCCACCTTGCTGGAGGGACAGAGGGACGGGGGGGGCTCCCTGTGACAAAAACCAGGCGACCCACCAGCTTTAACCCCAGCGCGGGGGTTGCCTTGAAACCTCTCCCGTCCCCAAACTCCCCCCCCCACCCTGGGAAAGGATGGGAAGGCTTTCTCGCCTTTATGCTCCCGACCGCCGGGAGCCCCCTGGGAGCGGGGCCAAGGGGAGCCTTTCCCCGCTGGGCGGGGAGGGGGTTCCTGCCCCCGCCGCAGCCCTGGGGCCCGGGCGAGGAGGGCGGCAGCCGAGAGAGGGGGGTTGTTGCGGGCCCGGGCTGCAGTGACTCCTCCTAGAGGCGGTATGTGCGGAGCGGGAGGAAGCCCCTGCCGCCCCCCTCAGCAGCAGCCGCCATCGCCATCGGAACATACAATACGGGCAGAGCTGCCGAGGCGGAGCGAGGGCGGGGGGAGCCCGGCAGGGAGAGTCGGGAGGGCAGGGGAAGGGGGGGCAAGGAGAAGAGGAAAAGAGGGGGCAGGGAAAAGAGGAAGGGAGAAGAAGAAGGAGGAGGAGGAGGCGGAGACGGCGGCGGCAGGTGAGGGGAGCGGCGGCGCGGGGGCTCCGGGGGCCGCGGCGAGGCCGGCCCTGCTCCTCTCCTTCCCCCTCTGCCCGGCCGCACGACCCACCTCCTCCTCCTCCTCCTCCCTCCTCCTCCTCCTGTTCCTCCTTCTCCTCCCGCCGGTGCCTTTCTCCGGGAGGGTCCGGCCGGGGCCGTGAGGGAGGGGGTGGCCGTGAGGGGGCGGGGGTCGCGAGGCGGCGGCGCGCGGGGCCGGCCCCGGGAGAGGGGGTGGTTGTGGTGTGTGGGAATGGGGGTGGAGGGGACGGCTCTTCCTCGCTCGCTGCCTCCTCTTCGCCCCCGTTGCGGGTCCCGCGCCGCCACCGGCCCTCGGCGGGGCAGCGGGCGAAGCCTCGGCGGCGGCGGCGAGCGCTGAGGGCGGGCAGGGGGCGTGGGGGGGGAGCGTTTGCGCGGGAAAGCCGCGGCCACACCCCCCCGCCACCACACCCCGCCGCGCCGCAGCGCGCCTGCGCGCCCGCGCGGCACCGCCCGCCCCTCGCCCGTCCATCAAGCGGCTCCCGGCCAATCAGAGCGCTGTCCCCGCGGCCCCGGCTGCCGCGGCGGCCAATCAGCGCGGGGGTGGGCGGGGCGGCGGTGCCGGGTAACGGCGAGGCGGAGCGGGCGGGCCCAGAGGGGCCGGGGCGGGCTCTGAGGGGGCTCCGGCGGGACGGGACGGGACGGGACAGGACGGGACGGGACGGGACGGGACGGGGTCTTCACCGGGCTCGGCTGCGCTCAGCCGGCTCCGGACACTCGGGCTGGGTCTCAGCAGCCGGGCCCGTCCCCTCAGCCTCTGTGCTGTGTGAGGGGCAGCTGCCTCGGCAGGGCCCGCGGGGTTTGGGGTGCTCGGGAAGCCGCTCTGTGCCCGGTGCGGGGACAGCACTGCACGGCGCTGTGTGTGTGCCCTGCCTGTGTCTCACCGGGCTGTGCGCGTAACCAGCACCTGCTCTGGGGCTCCTGCGTTATTTTTCACAAATGTCTCGTGTGCATACGAGAGTGCAGCCGGAGTTGGCCCCGCGATACAACATCGTTTGAGTTCCTTGCCAGCTCTTAACTGTTCTGGTAGATCTTTGGCTGGAGATGAGGAAAGTGCAGGTGTGTTGGTAGTCCTGCCTGTCCTTGGTTTCAGCCTTTGCCTGCTGAGTTCGAGTTCTCTCTCGGTGTTTGGAAGTCAAGGTGCTCCGAGGGCTGGAGTCCCCCTGTTCTGCAGCCGGGCTGGGAGTGCTGGGGGTGTTCTCCTGGAGAAGGGAAGGATCCAGGGAGACCTTTTTGCAGCCTTCCAGAACTTGAATAAAAAAGAGAAAGAGGGACTTTTTACATGGGCAGGACAGAGGGCAGTGGTTTTAAACTAAAAGAGATTTAGATATACAGAAGAAATCCTTCCCTGCGAGGGTGGGCAGGCCCTGGCACAGGTTGCCCAGAGAAGCTGTGGCTGCCCCATTCCTGGAGGTGTCCAAGGCCAGGTTGGATGGGGCTTGGAGCAACCTGGGCTGGTGGAAGGTGTCCCTGCCCATGGCAGGGAGTGGAATGGGATGAGCTTTAAGGTTCCTGCAAACCACTCTGCTGTTCTGGGGTAACAGCTGTTAAATAACAGCCAAATGTTTTTAATCCCTCTTGGGAAGTCCCACATCACCTGTGTGAAGTCCATTTGGCTGCTTGAAAGCAAGAAGCAATTTCTCCTTAGAATCTGCTTTTCTCTACCACTGTTGCAAGAGTTTTAGTGCTGTGTTGTTCAAGCTAATCTTTCTTTTACTGTTCTCTTTTACTGTTTTTCTTTTTCTTTGAGAAAAATTTGGTTTGGTGTCTCCTGGGGCATTCTGTACAGCACTGAACTTTCTCGTGCGAGTCCCTGCTTTCCTGCCCCGTCTTTACATGCTAATTTCTGAAATTGTTTTCTGGACAAGTTCAGGCTCTTTTGGGGGTTTCATCTGCTTCTGTGTCATCAGGTTGTTTATATTTTCCAAAAATTGTATGTGCTTTTCCTGTCCTAAGATGGTTATGGGGTTTTGTTCTTGTGAGCACCTGTGTAGGAAGGACAGGAAAGTGGTTGCAATGTTGCTGTGGTAAAGCTTGATCCACTGGGATGTGGTGTGGGATTCAGATGGCACAGTGGTGAGAGGAATATCCCAGGGCAGTCATTCTGTCATCCCAGTGTCCTTGTGGAGCAGTCCTCACCCTCTGCTGGTAAGTGTGATGGGAGAAAACAGGGTGGTCAGGTCTGTGGAGGAGGGACCCTCCGAGTGACCAAAGCAGACCTACCTGAGAGAGAGGAGGAGGCAGAGCTCTCTCTCCAGCAGGCAGAAGGAAAATGTCACTGGTTGTCTGGGCTCTGAAGAAGGTAAAACTCAACAGAGGAATGCCCAGCTTGCAAAAGTCTACCCTGTTTCCATCACAGAGAGCTCTGGGAGATGTGGTAGCTGCTCAATCCCCCGTAGCAACACAGGGATGTTGGAGTCATGGCAGAGTAGGAGTGTGCTGTGGCCAATTAAGGGATTGGGAAAATTAATTGCCTTAAATTGCCCAGGCCTCGTGATGTCATGGTAGCCAGATATAGACTCTTCCAGCTCAGCGAGGACGGACTTTGCACGAACGGCACGGGCGTATCTTTAAACGGAGGCTGAGCTTTGTAAGGGCAAACGCAGAGATGATGAATCAGCTGGCACAGAGGGAATTAATGTGGGTAGACTTGAGAGCTTTTCAAAGGAGAAGCCCTCGAGGCTTGGCTGTGTCATCAGAAGAGAACAATTAGTGCGGCAGTGCCCAACTTGTAGCTCTTTACCTGTTGGTTGCGGTCCAGGTGAGTGCCCCACCTGACTGTGGCAGGGCTGAGCTCAGGGGCATCCTCCAAGGTGATGGTGCTGCAGAGGAAACCCAACCCCTGCCTGTGGGATTCCTTTGTCCAGGTGCACAGGAGCTGATGTGACTGTGCCATAGCTTGGCTTTCTACCAAAAAATGGCCTCCTGTAGGATTCAAGACAAGACAAGAACACAGTGTTGTCTGTGTTGCTCCTCAGTGTACCCTGGTCCACGTTAAGTTTCAGAGAAGAGAGAGAGAGAGAAAGAGACAGCACTAGCGGAGTTTTGAAACCTCTTTCGTATTTACAAATGTATCTCAAAAAGTTCCGCAGTCATAACCTGCTCTGTCACCTGCAGTGTATTTGGAAAAATATTTTGGGATGCCAAAAGTTGGCTGGGCAGCAGGGGGATAAAAATGGCTGAGGCTTGCTGTGAGAGAGAAGGGGAAAATAAAGGAGGAGGCAGGGGTGGAAAGTTCAGTGAGGCAACAGAAGAAACAGCCAGAAGTGAGTAATTAAACATTAAATTTATATAATGCTACAGCATGCCCAGGGCAATGTGGTTAGTTCTATACAAATATGTTTGGATTTCCTATCACAGAGATCAAGTACAACCGTGGTGTTTTCCGTGGGTGTAATCTCTGGATGTTTGCCTTTTCCCATTGATTCACAAGCAACTGGGATTTGATACTATGGGAACAAATATGTGAGGGGTGAGCTTAAATATGGTTTTGATACATGTAGTGTACTCTGCCAGCACAGCTCTCTGTAGGGATTTCAGTTCTGAACTGAACTCTTGGGCGATGGAATCAGTTCCTGCCCTACTTGCATATATTTATTAAGTTCCTCCTTAAAATGAGTTACTGTTGCTTGTATTGCTCAGAAGAGAAGGCTGTTCCAGAAACTGATGGCTAAGACACCTAATTCCCAGCCTACTTTTATTTAGCAGTTTGAGTGTCAGCTACCCCGAGTGAAAAGGACACGTTTTAAGGGTTATTATTTTGAAACTGAAAGTTTGTAAAGGGTTTGTCACAAATTGCGATTCCGCTGAGGAAAGGACCTTGGGAGATCACCTCCAATCCCAGGGCAGATCCAGTGCTGTCCAGTGATTTCTGACATTTATTCTGTAACTGTTTTAAAGCTGTGGGAAGGTTCTGCTGCCTCCCGTCTGACCGAGCCCGGTGCTCTGCTCTCCCCCTGCGGCACAGCTTCTGTAAGAGCCACTGCTGCAGGGAACACTCGCTCTCTCCACCTTCACAGCATCCTCTTAAGTAATCTCTAAACTCATTGTGTCTCCCCACTCCCCTTTCCACCTTCCCTCTGAGCTCTGTTACCGCCGCTCGTGATTCCAGGCTGGCAGTCAGCAGGGAGCTCGGAGTGGGGCGATGAGCAACACCAATTCTGACGTGTTCCTGCCTGATAGGTTTTACTGCTCTAATCTTTCCCAACTTTCCTTGTCATGCCCACGTAGCGTGCTGCACACAGAATAAAATAACTGGCTGATACACCAGGACATGCCAGGGCTTTATGGATCCCTGCTGATATTATTGTCCTTGGTACCATAAATGAAACCAGCGTTCGAGTTGGGTTATTGTAGAAACCGCCTCTTGGCTTTGGCTCCTGTGGATGAGATGGGTTCTGGGAATGCCTGGCTTTGTAATGGACAGGTGACTCTCTTCGTACATGCACCTCATTTATAATAATCAGGATAAGAATTAAACAGGGATTTCTGTGCCCTTCTTGGGTGGACATTGGTTGTTCCCAAGGTGTCAAATGAAATGCATTTTTATTTTTCTGGAAGGCTGTTTGTAGTGAAGATTGTGACAAAGTTTAACAATATCACCCAAATTCATAATTTATTTTTTTCCCCCAAAATTATCTCCCTCCTTCTGTTTTCTCATTTCACTGGGGTGAGTGAATACTCTGGGAATGAAGTAGCTGTGCCTTCACTGACAGAAATACCACCTGTGGCAGACCTGCTCTTCCCTGGCTTCAGGGGAGTAACCAGGCTCCTAATGAGGCCTCTGAGGCAGCCGTCAAAAAGGAGCTGAAACCACATTTTGTAAACAGAGTTAAAACATCCCCATTATTTGGCTGAGAACGAGGGATGTAACTACGACCACCTGCATCCTTTGGAGTGGAGCAGCAGGCTCCAGGGTTTGTCGCCTGTTTGCCCGTAATCTCGTGAAAAGTCAGGAGGAAATGAGGTTTGTTTTCTTCGTTCCCGATATTGCTCCCCTGACAGTGCAGTTCAAAAGCAGAGTTGGAGCAAATATCCCAGTTATCCAACTTTCTTTAATGGATAGGTGTTGAGGGTGGGCTTGGAATTTTTTCCTCCTGGAACAACAACAACAACAACGGTGCATAAAGATGTTTCTCAGGCGCTGAACGCCAACCCTGTTTGTCTTCTCTTGCAGCTCGTGGGTTTGGAGCAAGGCGTTCGGAGTCACCAGGGGGCTGAGAGGCACAAGGCTGCGAGATGTCGGGCCGGAGCGGGAAGAAGAAAATGTCCAAGCTGTCCCGCTCGAGCAGGGCCGGCGTCATTTTCCCCGTGGGGAGGATGATGCGCTACCTGAAGAAAGGGACGTACAAGTACCGGATCGGGGTGGGAGCGCCCGTGTACATGGCAGCTGTCATAGAGTACCTCGCAGGTAAACCGAGAACCTGGGCTGCCTGCAGCTGCTGAGCACACACACAGGAGCCAGGCACGTCCAAGGGATGGGGCAGGAACGCGTGGAGCGCTTCTGAAAATCAGGCGCTGCCGGTGCAGCGTTTGCTGAAGTTTGCTGGAAACGCTGAGGGAGTTAATTTGTGTCTTGAAGAGGCTGAGGGTTGGAAGTTTTCTTCTAGAGAGGTACCAGCGGGACAGGAAAATAACTGATATTATATTATTACGTTAAGGTTTTGACACACCTAAATGTGACCGGTGACAGGACCCGAGGGAACGCTCTGAAGTTGTGTCAGGTCAGGGTTAGGTTGGATCTCAGAGAAAGGTTCTTCCCCCAGAGGTTGGTTGGGCACTGGGCAGGCTCCCCAGGGCAGTGGGCACAGCACCGAGGCTGACAGAGCTCAGGGAGCGTTTGGATGATCCTCTCAGGCACAGGGTGTGACTCTTGGGGATGTCCTGTGCAGGGCCAGGAGTTGGACTTGATGATCCTTGTGGGTCCCTTCCAGCTCAGCACAGTCTGTGATTCTGTGAATAACAGGAGAAAAAAGTAAACCCGCCTTGTACATCTTTTCTGCTTTTCCAGTGAGCAAAGTGTTTTGCTGGCTGTGTTTCTCCTTGCAGGACAGTGTCAAAAGTGTTATGAAATACAAAGCTTGTTTTTCTTATTTTAAAAAAGCCTTTTGCTTCGCCTAAGCATGTAAAGAAAGTGCTTCAGGGTTTAAATCTTCCCAAGTTTTCCTTTTCCCCTCCTTTCTGAAAACTGAACTCGGAGGAAGGGGCAGGTGTCACGTGGTGACACGATATACTGTGATTCTGTGTGGTAATATTTCAGAGTGTCCCGTGGTCTCATCTGCTCAGTTTCTTATTTAATTATGGCAAATAGCACTTTAGCAAATTGTTAGAACTCAGGGTGCAGAGGGGAATTCTGGTTCAGGTTACTCAGGTGTTACAGATCAAGACTGAGGTGCATTAGAGAATCTGTGAGGAGTCACAGCCTGGGTGGAATGAGTCAAATGGACTGTGTTTCAGGAACATAGTTTATTGCCAAAGTGGCAGGAAGAAGCTTGCATGGAGCCTTGGTGTCCATGTAAAAGCATGCCAGGCTTTATGCAAACATTGCTGTCTTCTTTACACATGAAAGCCTGTTCTCACAGCCAGACAAGAAAAGCACTATTTTCTTTCAAAGGTGTGGAGAAAATATCGAATCTCACTATTGAATTTCACTAATTTCACCATTAAAATTAAATTTCTGATGATGCCTAACAGCGCATTACAGAAACTTCCGTGCTTGTGCTGGTACATTGCAGGACGAGAATCGATTTGTTTGTTTGTTTCTTTGTTTTCTGAGGCTGCTCCTGGAGCTGGAGTGACAAAGTATTGCTTGTGCCGAAGAAATCACACTAAGTTTTATAACATAACATGCTGCATTGTGACTCTGCTGACCCTCCCTCTGGGGAGGAATCTGTCTTTTCTTTTCCCACTCCACACGGATCCAGAGCATTCAAAGGAGCTTCTAGGACAAACATTTGGAGATGCCTGTTCTGAACTGTGGCAACTCTCACAAGGTGCAGTAATAAATTGCCAGCAGCACATCTGGTGTGTGCAGCATTTCAGCAGTGCAGACTGAGTTATGGTCAGCACTGTTGACCTATTACCTGAACTAGAACAATGTATATCTTGGCTCTGCTCCTGGCTAGTAAATGCGGTTTAATTTGGGTCATTAATATTATATGGACAGATTACGTGTGGGCCTACTCTTTGTTTTAGGGGGAAAAAAAAGAATGTGTAGTGAACCAGGCAAGAAAAGTGCTAGAGGTGTGGGCCGGGAGCCCACATAAATTGTAAAAGAATGCTATTTTAAGCTGCTTGGTTGAGCAGAGAACCCAACCCTGCCTATATTGTAATGGAATGAAGTAGCATTTCTGAGCAAACACCTATTGCTCATGGATAGTGCCCTTTCAAAAACAAAGTTCCTGTGCTCTGTCCAGAGTTTTGTTTGGAAATACTACAAAGGTGGAGAGTTCGATTAAAAAAAAACAAAACAAACCAGTGTTGCAACATCTAACCCCGCTGATCCAGTTATTCCTAACACTTTGTGTGAATAAAGTCTTTGGTTTTGGGAAGCCAGTGGAAACAAAATGTGTTTTTCCAAGGCTGTCGTTAAAGGGGTTATTACATGTCAAGCTGGTAAATTTTCTTAACGTTATCATCTGACTCTTCCTGTTACAAGTGCCATTCTTCTCTCATGGACTTGCAGCTAAGGAAGGGGTGGTTACTGGGCGTGAAAGGCTGCATGCAGGGGAACTGCTTCAAGCTAAATCTGGGAGGGTGCCAGTAATGGAGCCTGGCTTTTTAGCTGTTTCACAGAAACAGGTCAAACCATACATTTTTGTTTGTGTTAGGGCATTCATGAGAATTTGTCCTCTAAAACCCCTGAGTGCTTTCTCCGCATTTGAGCAGAGATTTGATGCTTTACAAAAATGCCTTGTGTTTAAATCTCCCTATGCTGCTGTTTTATATCCTAGGCTGGAAAATCATATTGCGAAACTGCAGCTTAGCTCCTATCTAGAAAGTTTTGTTTGCTGGAACAGTGTTGGGCTCCACAGGCTTCAGAGTTAAAACTCTGGAAAATTGGCCTCGGTCCTGTTGGATTTATGGAGTTTGCAGCAGCCTCATGCTCCGAGCGTGCACGGGGCTGACTGCAGTCACAGTCACCTAAATCAAACATCAGCTCTGTGTCTCCCACAGTGCCCCTTCCCAAAAAGCAGGCAGAGAATGCAGATGCCCCTTGGTTAGGAGGCAGAAGTCATGTGAGGGGTGTGCTGGTCAGAGGGACCCATGGAAGATGCCAGTGGGAAGCCATCCCCTCTAAATTAGGGCAGAATACATCACCAGGAAAGGCTTCTTCCTTCACAGAAACCACCTGGCATAATCTGCCTGCCACAACTTATCCTAAAGGGGAAGTGGAAAACAAGGTAAATAACCTGTATGAAATCTTTCCAGTTTGCTATCAGTAATTCTCATAGACCTTTCTTATCAGTCCAGCTTCACAGAAACAGGCTGAGCTCAGCTGAACAAATGCCTTTGGCCTGGCTAGGAGGCTTTCACTTCACAGACACTCCAAATGTGTTGATCCATCAGCTAAAGAAACCTCTTTTGTTCTGATGTGTCACGGGATGAGGAGATGTAATCCCATTCAGGTCATGGCTTGGCTGCTGCTCATGTCGGCTGGAAGAGAGTTACACTCTTCCCTAGTCCAGGTGCTTATCAAACAGGAGAAAAGGCTCCTTTAAAGATACTTTAGAAAGGAGTGTTGGGCAGAGCCGAGTGGAGAGTTCTGGGCTCTGCCCTGCAGCCCAGCATTCGATGCGTGCCAGAGTCCCTCAAGGAGCTGGTTTGCTTGTGGCCACCTGCGCTGAAGATGCCTGGATCTGAACCTACCCTTCTGGTGTGGAGGCATCTTTGTGGGTTTTGAATCTCGGGAGAAGCAAGGTTGTTTCAGATTTCGCTTTAATTCTTACTGCCTGCTGCTGAGGGCACATAAAGTAAAACCAGTTTATGGCTGAGAATATCAAGATGCCCAGCTCCAAGAGAGCTTGTTGTAGTACAGGCTTTTGTTATAGGACCTATATTCTCAGACTAGCCTTAGAATTTAGGTAACCTCAGCTGTTAAGGTGTTTCTGCTTGAAGCACTTTCTTTAGGGATCTGTTATTATCAGCAGCGGATGTGACAAGTGAAGCCTCCGGTTTTGATGTGCATTTTGCAAGTGCCACTTTGTATTATTAAGACTGTGAGTCCCTGCCCCTGCCATTAGGAAAATATGCACATAAGCCACCATCAGAAGGAGGTAAGGCAATTATTTACCTATGCAGGTATTTGGCATCCTTTGGTAAGGTGTATATACATATTCCACAATCTGCCATACCTCACCTGTGCCTCGGAGCCCCTTCTTCCCAGAGTCCTGTGGTGGATGGCTGGCATTTGAGTGTTCTGCCTTTTTTGCTCTTGACATTAGGCAGAGGACAATTTGGGTGCACCATCAGGATGCTGCTGGCCAAAGGACCCAAACCTGGGGGAGTGGGGTGAGCACACAGGTAGCAGGGTGTGCCTGTTGTTGGCACACCTGAAAGAACTTCAGTTCCCATGCAGGTAAGTATGTGTTGCTTTTTTGGATTCTCCCCCACCCCCCATCCCCCCCAGTGCAATTTTCCTCTGCTATCAGCAAACATCTGCAAAACCCACTGGAGAAGCCTGGATCTCTTTTCTTGCTCTCTTCTGGTGTGCACAATGGATGGAATCTGTTCCTGCTGTCTGCTGCTGCCTTAGCTCCACTGGCAGAGGTCTGGGAGAGGGTCTGAAACTTCCAGCCCTGTGGGGGTGAATAGAGCTGGATTATCCAGAATTTCTTTTCAATCTCTGTTAAAATCCAGGACAGACTCTAGGAAATGCTGGACCTGAGAGGTTCCTGCCCTAAGTCTTAACAATTCACTGTGAATATGCACATAAATTTAAAAAAAAAAAAAAAAAAAAGAAAGGCTTTTACACCTCCAACATGCATTTAAATATGAAATATGTTCACTGTGTACTGGTGAAAACTGGAAGACAAATAATGTACTTTTGTTTTTCTTACTGAGTGAAATTGAAAACTTGTATTTTTCCCAAGAGCCAAGAGCTGAGCCTCATGTTGAAATCATTTGGATTTTAGCCAGACAGCACTAGATTTTTCATGAAAGTTCTTCGATAGTAGTTACAGTTCTTTATTTAGGAGTAAAGGTATCATTAGGACATCAGTAAGATATCAACAGGACACTGATGGGCTGTAATTTTCATACCCCTGTATGAAATGCAAAACACAAACAAGTGCAAACACAAACCCAAAAACCAGAAGACAGGGACACTGTATGCTTTTAAAACGGAACAAAGTGTGAGTATGATTTTTGTGATTATTTGGAGGGTGGGGGAATCCCTTCTTCCTTCCCAGTGTTTCAGTAGAGTTCTTACCTGAGAAAGAACTTCTGAGTAGGGGCCAAACTGTGTAAGTTAACGAATTCTAATGATTGATTGCTACAGTCCAAACAAACCTAGAAAGACGTGTCTGTATTTCCTCCATAACACTGAGGAGAAGCTCGGTGACTTTGGCTGCAGTATAAAGGTTGCTGCTAATTTAGAGAAACCACTTTTGAAGTGATCTGACCTCCTGTTCCCAGAGAAGATGCGGAAGGAACCTCTTATCAGTATTTCATGCACTGAAGCTCTCACGTTGTCTCTGCTTGCGCCTAAGGCAAACCTCTCGTATCTTGATCTGAAATGAAGCTTCTCACAGATTTTCAGTGCCCTTTTACTCCAGCAGTGCCTGGCTAGTGTGTTGGCTTTCCAAGTATTTCTTCAAATGCACCTCAGTCTTCATCTTACCTGGTCCTGAGAATCCTTGCTGTTTGTCAGAGCTGTCTGTGCCAGGTTTGGGGTTTCACTGCATGCTTGACTGTTCTGTTGTTACGGCGCTACTGCTAAATTTTGGACTGCTCATGTACATTTGTATAGGCTGGGGTTTTTTTTTTGTCTTTTTGAAGGGGAATTCTGACTTGGGACTCGTAAAAGAAGTTATGTGAACCGAGCTTAGCATATTTTCTGCTAGCTCTCCTTTAGGGGGTACTGGGAAGGACAAATTAATTTACCTAAATTTACAAATACATGGAGTGGGGTTTGCTTTCTGCCTTTCCGTGGCGAAGACCCTTTAAATCTGGAAACGTCCCTGAGAAGGTAAATGGATTTTAAGAAGGAATGTAAAGCGTGACTGCAGCGTGTACCTAAGGTGCGTTTTTGTTGCTGATTTGTATCTCGGTGTGTTTGCAGCTGAAATTCTAGAGCTGGCAGGAAACGCGGCGCGGGACAACAAGAAAGGGAGAATCGCCCCCAGACACATCCTCCTGGCAGTTGCAAACGATGAGGAGCTGAATCAGGTACCTGTTCCCTTTCTGGTGCGGGAGTCACGTGCTGTGGCACGAGGAAAGGTTGGAAACAGTTTAGTCTGAGACGTGAACGCGGTTGTCGGAGCAGAAGGCAGGACTGTGCCCTCTTAAATAAAAGCAAACAAAACCAAAGCTGCTGAGATACCTCATCTTAAATCTTATGGACGTAAATGTTGCTCCTTTTGTAGCCTGTGGGTCCTGTTGAAGTGAGTAGGCTTGATGCTTCGTTTTTTAGCTCAGGGACGTCCAACGCTTAAAAAAAAAATGTGCCATATGCAAGACCTTTTCCCAAAAAGCTGTAGGAATGTGTGTTTTCTGTTGTACTGGCTGTGAGGCCCATCTTGGGTAGGGATCTGGCTCACTGTGTTGCTGCCTCCCCACCCGTTTGCCCATCAACTGTGGTTTTCAGTGCTCTGACTCTCAGGATCATGTGTGGGTTCACTTCTGCTAGACTTGGTGAGTGAGGACAGGAATCATTAGGATGGGCTGTAAATCGTCCTGTTCGGGGATGCCAGAAAGGTTCAGTCAGCATCCGAGTATCTCTTCTTGGTAGGCCCCATGCTAAGATGGATGACATCACTCACACTTTGAATACTCCTGCGCTTAGTTTGTCTGCTTTAAATAATGAAAATGTGGTGCCCGTGAAGTCACGTGTGGCTCTGTTTCTAGTCAAGCAGACTGAAAAGTCAAAGCAGAAGCCAGGAGAGAAGGAAAAGCATGCTAACACTACCAAACCCTTTCCCAGCTCTGTGGTTCTGGCCAGTGACCTGTGAACTGGGATCTAGATCCAGTGTTGTCTGTTAGGAATTAGCCAGATGTTGTCCTCCACATAATATCGCAGCCCACTGCTGTTGTTTGTCTCTGCAGAGCAGGTCCTTGGGGCTCTTCCTTGCCTGCCTACTGCATGTTTCCCTGCCAAAGGGGTCTGCATCCAGTCCTTTGAGCGGGGCTGTGGCACAGTCACTTTTTTAAGGAGCAGCCCACAGGCACTTTTCTTATTTTACCCACGCTCAGTGTTTCTGAGTCACCAAGGACGAGTTTGCCCGAGGACCACTGCACTGGAGGAGACAGGACTGATTGTACAGACACAGAGTTCCCAGGATGTGCTGGCTGACTTTGCTGTCACCTGCCAAGTTCCTTGTTATTGTGGATCTTCCCCCTAACAGTTTTCTGGTGGTGCAGGCTGAGAGGATCTGTAATGTGCTTCTCTGCACCGCTTCTCCTGGCAGTTGCTAAAAGGTGTGACTATTGCAAGCGGGGGCGTCCTGCCCAGAATTCAGCCCGAGCTTCTGGCCAAGAAACGGGGTGCCAAAGGCAAGTCTGAGACCATCCTTTCCCCTGCTCCTGAGAAGAAAGGGAGGAAATCCATGGTGAACAAAAAGAGTGGGAAGAAGGCAAAGTCTCCCAAGGCCCGGACATCCAAAAAGGTAAGCACGAGGCAGGTGCACATTCCATGCCGCCTCTTTGCGGTACTTTCTTGATAACTGTGTAGTCTCTTTATCTCCACACAGGTTGTGTGGCAGTGAAGTCTTGCTTTTAAAATAAAAGGAGCTGTCTTTTAAAACATTTTATGCTGGGGGGATGTCATGCCTTCAGCCTTGTGCAGTTACTGGGTTGCTGTCAAGAGGTTTCTCACTGCCCAGAGAACTTGTCCTGACCGTGGTAGGTCAGTGCCGTCGTGACAAGCTCTTTGTTCCACGTGTTCTTAGCTGTGCTGCTGTTGTTGGTTTTTGAAAGAAGAATAAATGAATCAGAACTTGGGCACTGCACCTTCCCTCGTGGCTGCCCTTCCTCTGTCACCATCCAAAATGGTTTGATCTGGTAAAGCCGTAACCCAGATCAGGGCTCTTGGTTTGTCATTCCAGAGCATGCACCTTAAAACGCTGCTAAGTTTTGTTGGGGTAGCATTAGATGACATTAAGCTTTGACTTCAGGTTTTTAAACTTGCATTAAGCACATTTTTCTGGAGGCCTTTAAGCTTTGATAGAGTTCCATAGCTGAGGATATGCAGAGAAGAGAAAAAAGGAGTTGCTGAATGGGATGTTTAATTGGATGCTTCTGTGTATTGGTCTCAGCCACCACCTTGCTTTGAATTGTGCACATCAGAGTTTGAACTTGTTAGGAAGAGTTAGCTTCTTGACATACCTTAAAGCAAATATTGAAAGGTGTGAGGAGATGCTCCTGCAGCCCTCTAGGGCTGGTATGTTTGCTGGTCCTGGAGCTAGGCAGCAGGAAGGATTTATGGTTTATTAACTGAGACTTAACAGGTTTGGGTTTTTTTTTTCAGATCACAAAGTTGTTTTTTCTTCAGGTTGGGATAATTGACTGGGTTACTAAGTTACTAAGTCTGATTTAGTATGAGCTCTGCTCTGTTAGCAACGAAAATAAACTAGCACCCACCCACCCATAAATACAACTGTAATTGTTAGTAAAACTACAGATGGGTGTGGGTGCCCTGACTCTGAATGTGACCACAAATGTATACAATACCTCAGATGAACCACTGATGTTTACCATTATATAAACAGAGCAGACCTCTGTTGTTATATAATCTTTGGGGATTATAAGGCTACAAGTAATATATTGATCTGAGAAGATGAGACTTACGTTAACTGATTAAATCTATCCATTACTGAATAATGGTATATGTTGATTAATTTTTTTTCCTTTGAGAGTCCTTGCTTCCTTGCTTATTTTCTCCCCTCAAATAGAACAAGCAAAAAGACAGTGAAAAAGAAGGAGCTTCAAACTCAACATCTGAGGATGGACCTGGGGATGGTTTCACTATCTTGTCCTCCAAGAGCCTTGTGCCAGGACAAAAGGTAATGCAGAGTTGGAATGGATTGGGATCACAGCAGTGGGGCCTGGCATTAACGAAAGGATGAGTTTGATCCAACAGCGCTGCAAAATCTTCTCCGTGTTCTGCCTTAGTGGTCCCAAATTTAAGGCCAAAACTCGCTCAAGTCATTGGCAAGGTCTCAAAAATATGTGTGCAGATAAAAGATTTCCAAGAACAATGCTGGTCAGCCCCTCTGCAGAGATCCACACTGAGTCATTCCTTGGCCTAAGCACGACTGGGGCTTTTGTTTGGTTTGGCTTTGTCTGTCTTGTGCTGACATACTGCCAAACCAGGTTTAAACTTCCAGGCTATTTGTTGTTTCTCAAAGAGTATTTCTGGGCCAGGTCCCAGGATCACCCAGAGCTTGCTGGTTTGTGCCAGAAGCCCGGGTGCTCCATCGGAGAGTGGGCAGTGGGACTCTGCTCTGTCAGCGTTCCAACTGAGGACATTCCTACTGCTCCAACTCAGCACGGGCTGTGACGTCTTGCCAGGCCAGAGTTACAGAACTGTCCCCCCAAAATACATCTCCTTGGTGTTCCATCGACTGTGCCCCTCCATTTATTACTTTTTGTTCCCCTCTACTCTCCAAGAACAAGAGGGGGTTATTTTTTGCTTTCCTTAATTTTTGAACCCTCTGAATTAAACTGGAGGTTTTCTTACAGATTTAGCCATGGAAATATAATCAATTTTTTATTAATATTTACGCCAGGAATGGGTAATTAATCACTGGGGTTGTGAAGCCTTCACAGAGTGCTCAGCCCATCTTCTCAGCCCCCTTACAGTAGTTCTCTGAGGGCAAGCGCTTCTACAGGAGAAACACTTTTTAATTTCCTCATTTTTCTCTTTAAACCAAAGCATTTCCAAAATCAGCCCTTTTTTTCTCCAAAGTGTGATGCTGGAACATTGATTTTTTTTTTTTTTTTTTTCCCTAGAAGCAACTTCCTCTGGAGCAAACTCCCAAGCTGTGGGCATACCACCAAATAATCAGAGTGGTTGTGCAGATTAATTAATCAAAAGATCAGAATCACACATCCCAAACAAAATAAAATAACTGATCTCTGAAAGACTGAATCCAGACTTCTTCCATTTCAGTTTTTCTTTGTGGTATGAAAAATGCTTTTGCACTCGCGTTACTGTTTTATTTTTTGCCTATCCCCTCGTTGTTATTTTTCAGCTTTCTCTGACACAGAGTGACATCAGCCATATTGGCTCCATGAAAGTAGAAGGCATCGTTCACCCCACAACTGCTGAGATAGACCTCAAGGAGGAAATAGGTGAGGCTCTGCTACAGGCAGAAAAAAACACAGATCTAGAGTTGGAACAGTAGCTGGTCTACTGGCTACCAGCTGAGATCCCATCCTGTTTCATCTGAATCTTCCCCAGGCCATAAATATCATTTACAACACTTCTGAAAATCAGGCTGGATCTGACTAGGTATAACAGGCTAATCACTAATTTATCTTTTTTTTTTTTCCTTATGACAAGCAAAACAGATAATTTGTTGAAGCACATGAGCAGCAAAGTTGTAAATAATAATTACTGCTGTCTTTTTATGTTTGCCTTTGAAATTTCTCTTACAAAACTTATACATTAATGGCACTTCTAATTATGCTTTTCATTACAGGATATTACATAGTTTAGAAATACTCACATACTGCTCATGTGAAATCAGGAAATATTATTATTACAAATATTGAAATTGAAGCAGGAGGGAGGTAAAAAGCTGTTAGTCCCTCGCATAGGGGGCCACAGAATCTAGTGACAGGCTTTTGGATCACTGTTTTGTAGTCATCAAGACTCTACTACTTCAGCCAGTAGTAGGGTTTGCCTGCTGAACAGATTTTGGAGGCTGAAAATCTGAGTCCTGAAAATCCTCTCTATTTTAGCCACCAGTTGGAGTAAGATAGCTTTCTTACAGATCTTTATATCAAAGTCATTTCCAGTAATAGCATAGAGGGCTCTTCAAAACCAATAAAAAAGTAAACTTAATCTGTGTCTAGGCACAGGATAGTAAGTGTGCAGTGTTCTTTTAAAGAATGCAGAGCTGTTTTTCCACGCTGATACTCCGAAGCCAAGGCCTTTTGCTCCGTGTCCTTGCAGGCAAGGCGTTGGAAAAGGCTGGAGGAAAAGAGTTTTTAGAAACAGTGAAAGAGCTCCGCAAATCTCAAGGACCCTTGGAAGTCGCTGAAGGTAAAAGGGATGCTACAGTCTGCCTTGGACACAGCTTATTTCATATGTTCTTTCCTCTGGACATTCTGGTCTGTTCTGGATTAGATATATATGTGTCTTGTGTGATGTAAATGTTTCCTCTTCGGGGCTGCTGCTGATGTGAACAACCTGCTGAAGGGGCAAAAAAGGAAGAATAGGACGCCTGTGTGCTGTGCACATTGGGCTGATTAATTTCTCTTAGGCGATTTCTGTCTGCAAGAGCCCCAAAACTAATGAAATCTTGTGCTGTCACCTATGTGCCATCTTTCCTGCCCTGTTTGTACTGATTTTTGAGAGAGCAATTGCTCAGGCACCACAGCTAAATTATCAGAAGAGCTCCCTTCAGGGGTTTACCATATCTGTAGCAGTGAATGGGTTGGGACTTGAGCTTGTGGGGCTTTCCTTTGTGGACAAATTAAACCAATTTATAGGGGTTGAAGGTGGCTGGAAGACAGATGGAGAGAAGTTACAATATGTCTTATTTGGCTTAGTATCTCAATACTCAAGAAAGTAAATGCTTTAAATAGTCTCTTTTTGGAAATTTCCTAAATGAATAGCCTAGTTTTATAATCTCAAATGACAGGGAAATTTTCAAAGAGGATAATTTGCTTCACTTTCACGTCTAATCAAATTTATTTGCCATAAAATCAAAGTAAACTGCTTTTCTCTGTCAACATCACTGCCTAACTAGAAGATAGACTCCTTTTATGCTATTAAGGCAGCTGGTTGAAATTTAAGTAGCACAGAATTCCTCTGTGCCTGCAGCAGACTTCCTCTGTAATGGTGGACATGTGAATACATCCAAATTTTTCATCCTTGGGCTAGTTTCATCCTGCACAGCTCATATCAAGAGAATTTAACCTGAGATTCCCCAGACCCGGATTTCCAGTAGTTCTGATGGTCACAGTTGCAACAAAAACAAACTGATGCCATGCTGTGGAGTCTGCAGGTCCCAGAGAAATATTAGTCTTTCTGAGAAATTAATCTGAGTTTCCTAATTGGGCAGAATTGGTGGGGACCTTCAGCAAGCATCTTTGATTTTCTTGTCCTTATCTGAAATTACCCGGCTGTGAAGCGGGTCTAAATATTACTCCCCAGCTGTAATACAATGGGGAGCTGTAATACAATGATGATGATGATGATGATGATGATGATGATACAGGATATTTGTGCAAGGCATTCAGCGGCAGCGCTGCAGAAATGCCTGTTGGGGGATTGGTGCCGTTGTGCTCAGGGCAAGGTTTGGGTGCTTTGTGTAAAAACAAACTCAGAGGCCGTGCTGAATGGGAGAGCTGAAAAAACCATTACCGAATAACTGTGTGCTGACCAAGTGAGCCCTGGGTTCTTTGGTCTCCCCAGAAATAACCACTGATCACAAGGGCAGTGATGAGGCGGTCAGATCACGATTGCGGAGCGAGCCCCTGTGGCGTTGCTTTAACTCCAAGCGCGTTTCTTTGGAGAGGTGATGTAATGAAGGAGGTGCACTGGGCTGAGAGGTCAGCGCAGGGCGGTTTCTGTTCGACACTAAATGTTACGTTTCCGTTTGTGTTAGCTGCACTCACTCAGTCTAGCGGCCTAGCAGCAAAGTTTGTCATCCACTGTCACATCCCACAGTGGGGCTCGGACAAGTGTGAAGAGCAGCTCGAGGAGACTGTCAAGAACTGCTTAACAGCTGCAGAAGACAAGAAGCTGAAGTCCGTGGCATTCCCCCCGTTTCCCAGCGGCAGGTAGGAGCTCTGGCTGCACGGGAGGGTTCTGTGTCGGGGGGCAGTGGTGGAATTAGCTGTGCTGTGATGACAGAGAGGTGCCCTCTGCTCTGTGACCCTGCCTCTGTGTTTCCTATTGCTGGGCACTCATTTTCATTCCTCTGCACCCCCTCGGGTTTTGTGTCCCTTCATTTGGCTGTGGGGGGTCTTATTGAAACTGCATTTGTACCGGTATCATACTGAGGGCAGGTAACAGGGGTGCAACCTGAGGTAGGTAGATGTGGGGTACTCATTCAAGTCACCCTGACAATATATATTAAACAGACTAGCCACGCAAAATCTGTTTTTTCGGAAGAAAATCAACGTTTCTCAAATGTAGATTTGCTTTAAAAAGGGAACTTATGAAACCAACTGTGAAGCTACACATTTCTGTCTCAGTAACTAGCAAACAAAACATACTTGACTAAGAAATCCAAAGTGTTTATCCTTTTCTTTTTTTTTTTCCTTTTTAACTTCTTTTTTAAACCAAATCTCTGATCACAAGAGACCTTAGCCAAGCCCTGCTAACTGCAGAAGTTGTTCTTTTGTGGTAGGGTTCAAAGTCTTATATTTGATTTGAAATGTATCTGCTGGTTTTGATTGTAGTGCCCAAAGTGCAGAGTGCACAGCACAGTCCAGTTGTGTTGGCCTGACAGTGAGTAAAATGAAAGTAAAACTGTGATTTGATCAGTGCAATCACCACACATCACTGAATACACAGGAGGTGAATGCCATTTTTACACAGATACTTTTCAAAGCAAAATAACATTTGTACGGATTGGGACAAAAGAATAAATAGAGGGGCAGTGCAATTTTTAGTGATTTTTCTTTATTTTTGTATACAGATCTTCTTGTTTATGGTTTTCAGTCAGAGCAAAATGTGATAAATTTTTTAACACTCTAATACTAAAGTGCACCTTTCAAAAATGAACCGTAGCTTTTAATGCCAATAGAAATAGTTTTGAGACTTCTTGTCTTCTGTGAGCATAGAATTAGAATAATCCAGTCTTGGCCCATTAGTCTTGGTGCAGATCCTTCTGCTGCTCTGTTCCACGTCACTCTCTCTGTTGCTCTTACAGTCCTGAAAACAGAGTAAATCTTACCAAGTGGTTTACCCTTCATTTATCAAAGGACCTCAAAATTTTCAGAAATAAAAAAAAAAAAAGGCAGAACTCTTCAAATAGGACTTAATGGCTTTGTTTTCATTTTATTCTCCCTACATGTCTGCACAGGAAATATGGGGTTTGTGGGTAGATCACAAATGATGCTGCATCAGCCCTGTGAATTTTTTACATTTTCCTCTATCCCATCCTAGGGACTGTTTGAAGTAACTGGTGTAATGCTGCAATAGATGGGATATTTCCCATTTTTTGAGCCAGATCTTTTTTGATGTTTTTCAGTATAAATATGAGAGGTAGTCTGAAATCACTCACATAAAGCTGAGTAAAGAGAAGTACTAAACGTAGAAGGGGGAATACAAAACACATGCAAGTGTTACCAGAAAGGTGGGGGGGAAAAAAAACTTTAAAAACACTACAAAGGCAGTTCTGGGTGCTATTAGAAGAAATACTGTAATTTCTCAAGTGTAAAGATTGTTGGGCACTGGGGTGGCTTATCTGTGTGCTCTGCTGTAGCCCCCCCAAAGATCTGTAAGTACAGGTTAGGCAAACCTTTTTCAGAGCACAAAAGTTAGGTGCAATCCTGTCTCAGAGGAAGAACACGGCCTAGGTTGTGCTGACCAACCTTTTTTGGCATGGATCAAAGTCCCTCTGGAGCATTTTCATGGAGCAGAACCTAAATAGGAATTAAAGAGCCCACATACTGTAACAACTGGTAGCTTTTAGCTGTTCAGGTTGTAGGTTAGAGAATATTACCATCAAAATGAGTGAATAAGTGCGTCGTGACCTTAATTTGGCTTGGAGTTGTAATTTCAATTATTTTCGCAGGAGTCCCAAGCCAAGTATTTTTAATGACAGAGTCAGCTAAGTAGGTGATGTTTTGGGTTTGGGGTTTTGTTTTGGTTTGGTTTTTTCCTGTTTTAGCTAAAAAAAAAAAAAAAAAAAAATCATCCTTTGAACTTTCCAACCTGCCCAGCATGGCATGGAGAAGTTTAATTCTAAGGGGGAGCATTAAAAAAAACCTTTGTGTGGTTATAAAAAGGAGAAGCAAATGAAAACAGCAACCATGCCAGCAAAAAGGGACTGATACAGCAGCAGGTGAATGTGGCTTATCAAAACCTTGGGGTTTGCTCCTGGGTTTGCCAGACTGCAGACTGGCACTGTCTTGGCAGCAGGGCCGGCTGGTTGCCTGCCCTGTGACACTCACCTGTGCTGTTCCCTTCCCCTCCCACACAGAAACTGCTTCCCAAAACAGACAGCGGCCCAGGTGACTCTCAGAGCTATTTCCACCCATTTTGACGGCACCAGCTCCTCCTCCCTGAAGAACATCTACTTCCTGCTCTTCGACAGTGAAAGCATCGGCATCTACGTGCAAGAAATGGCCAAGCTAGACACCAAGTAGCAGTGGCAGCCAAATGAAACTTTATTTTTCAACAAACTTGAGTAGCATTAAAAGCATTAGAGGTGGGTTTTATTTTTTCAGTGTGATGAGGAGGGGGAGTGGTAGTAGTGTGATGTGTTGTGACTTGATGAAGAGCTGTGACTAGAGGTGAGAGGGGTTTAGTCCCATTTCTTCATGCTATCAGCATCCCCTAGCCATTTTGATCACCTTAAGCAATTGAGTTACCATCTGTTTTCGGGAGTTTAGTGTCCCTTGGTACTTTAGTTTAGGAGTTTTTAAAGAGTAACCTCATTTTAGATTTGTAGTGATTTCTCCACACACACCACTTTAAAGAAAACTCTTAAAAATGTTCTGCTCCCTTTTCCCCTCCCTTGAGGGTAGATGGTAAACTGCCTTCAGCCTGCAGAGAGAGGGGAAAAGGACTTTAGAAGTGATGCATGAGAAGCTTCTGTTTTGCTTTTAAGTCACAATTACCTCTGTGATTACTGAGAATATTTCATGGTGATTTTGTTTGTTTTATAAGAAAAAAAAAAAAAAAGATGTGTCAAGCGTGGTTATTGTCATAAATCCTAATTTTGTTCTGGGAATTTATCACCTTAAAAAAAAAAAAAAAGAAAAAGAAAGCAGCATCAGCTCTAATTAAGTACTTGCTGTATCACAACAACAGCTTTTCTGGCTGCAGTGTAGTGCTGTAAGTGATATGATCAAAGCAGCTGTGGTCATTTTGACACAAAGCTGCATTATATGTTCTGTGGAATCCCAGGATTATCTTAGCTCCTCCCAGGTTTTAGGCAGGCTTTTCCCTGGCAGGACTGAGAGCCATTCTCCTCCCTGCATGCTGCAGATCTGCAAGAGGCAGGTACTTTTTAGAAGAGCAAGAACGGAGGAAGCCAGGGGAAAAAAAAAAAAGAAAACGCACATAACAAATAAAACACGGAGATTCTGAAAACCACAGTGTTTATTGTTACAAATCAAGGTAAGCCAAGCTTCTTGCTCAAAGATATCTCAGCAGGGGAGTAAAAGAGACATTCCTTCCCCGGTTTTTATCATGGGAACTTCAGTGCAATTCGTGTGGGAAGTGCTTCCTTCCCCTTTAGAGCAAGGCAGGGCACTCTGTTATGTGGCACAGGTGGTCGAGGAGGTGCTGCAGGAGAAAGCATCAGCCAGTCCAAGCAACAGGAGTGCACCTCACCCTCCAGAGGCTGTCTTCCTTGCTGGCTTGTCCCTGGTGCCCTCCTAAGAGGGCATCCTCTGTCCCATCGTCTTCCAGCTCTTGGAGACGAACAGGTCCCGGCTCTTGGCAATGGTCACCAAGAGACGTCCCACGTAGTACCCGTTCACCTGGCCCACGCCATCATTCCTGCCCATGGACAGCAGGAATGTCAGTGACCCTGGAAAGAAGATGTAGAGGCTTAAGTTAAGCGACTGCTGTCCAGATCCCCTGCATCCACGAGGAACAGCTCTCGACACAGCTGTGGTAAGTGTTTGCATCGGTGCTTTATGAACGAGACCCATCGCCCAGCTAGGGTTTTGAGGCTATATTGTTCAGTCTGTTTGTTGTATAGTTGAAGGGGAGAAAGGCAAGCCCTCTCCTTGTTCAAACAAGTGAGATGAATAGCAGAGTCCCACCAGGAGATTTATCAGGAAGACATTAGTGAAGAAAGGACACATTGTGTCACTAGACTGGCACAGGTAATGGGCAGCTACAGTCTTTGGCAGGGACTAAGATGAAGCCTGAGCTATCAACTGGCACAGTCAGCCCCAGCTGTGATCAGTGTCCTCTAATCAATGTCCTATGCAAGCCGAACAGCTGTTCCCTGCAGAAAAGCAGCCCAACCCCTAAGGCCAGGAGATACGAGATGATGACCTTACCTGGCTCATAGGTTTTAAGAGGCTTCTGTGTGAGGCTGTTGATGATGTTTGTCACCGCAATGTCGGCGTGGAGCCCAGCATGGTAGGCCATCTTGGGCTCTTCGAGATCTGCACAGTCCCCAATGGCATAGATGTTCTCGTAGCCTTCCACCTGGAGGTGCTTGTTAACTTTCAAAGCACTGTTACTTGCCATTTTGTCACCTGTTTTGCCAAAGAGCAGGTTTTTATGAGCAGCTTTGTGTTGCTTCTTGTGACCCAAGACCCCAAAACGCTGATGATGTTACTGACACAAAGCGAGGAGCTGGCTTTTCACCCTCTCTTTTTATGCATCAAGGAAGAGATGCTTTTTGCCTTGCTGGGGTTAATCACTGCAGTCTCATGCAGCGCGTCATCCTTTGATATTTCGGTAGAATAACCCCTGCAGGTTGTACACAGTTCATTCCTCACCTCGCACCCCTCAAGCACAAGACACTGAAGAGCTGTGCTGGTTCCCCCACCCAGTGGGTTTTTTTTTTCCCCACTTACCAAATACAGCAGCGTACGCTGAAGAGTTGATCTTTATCCCTGTGCACAGCACCACCATGTCAACAACCACCTCGGTGCCCTTTTCTGTCCTCACCACCATGTCCTTCTGGAACCGGTTTACCGTGAGGTTTTCCACATCCCTGACCCTTTCACCTGTTGCGACAGAGAGCCCTGGGTCACAAACCTTTGCTGGGCTGCCGTTTCCAGCTAGCCCAGAGAAACAGGGATTCAAGGGAGCCACACTTTGTCAGAAAGAGGACATCAGGAGACGCTTTGGCTAACGGAAGAGCAGCTCACGGATCCCCAGAGGCATTGTTAAGTACGTACTTAGCAGGAGCCGCACTCCTTTCCTGAGGAGAATCTCCTTGACCACCTGACGGACGCTGGCGAGCAGCTCCACATCAGCCAGGGTGGGTTTGGAGTGCATGAGGATGACCTGTTGGGGACAACAGCAAATGGGGACACAGGAGTGGGACAGGACTCATTGCCATGCCATGTGGGAGCAGCTGCAGCTGGCTTCCCTCTCCCTGCAAGATGTGCGATCATCTTGGGTACCTCCAGCAGCAGCATCACAGAACAGTCTCAGATAACAGGATGAAGTTGATTGTAACTTCAGGAGTTGATGCACCTCCTACCTCTTTGGCTGGGTACTCCGTTTTGATCTCAGCAGCCATCTCAGCTCCAGCAGAACCACCTCCCACTACCAGGATGCGCTCAGATTTCTCAACCTTGAAGAGGCAACTCATGTTACAATAGAACTGCAAAAGTGTCTGATACCTTCAGCCACCCCGAGGACGTTCTGAGGCACACCACGGGCCCAACAGCAATAAACCACTTAGTTCATTAAGAGGAAACAAAAAGCGAGAAGAACCCTGCGCTCTCTTCCTGCCTACACTGTAACACTGTTGAGCATTTCAGGTTTCCCCTTGTGCAGAATGCCAGGCAGGCCTTGGTGAGCTCCTTGTCCTGGCCTGTCCCTACAGGCATTTTATTGTGGCCTCTTGTTGTAGGACACAGATGGCTACGGATATCCACAGTGGTGCCTGGGACAGGGAGGCTGAGCAAAGGCAGGCAGCACCTCCTAGGAAATAAGCTGATTCCTCACCTCTTTAACCATGTTTTCGTAGGTCTGGATGGCGCTTTCCATGTCAATGACTTTGTTGAACTTCCCGGGGAATGGCCCATCACTGCCTGTTGCAAGAATGAGATGGGAGTAGTGAAGCTCCTGGGAGGGAAGAAAGTGGGATGGGATGTTAGACCTCTTGGGAACGGAGCCTGGGACACAGTGGTTGCCTCCTAGGTACTAGTCACTCATTCACTCTTCTCCAGCCCTTCCTGGTAACTAGGAAAGTGCTTGTCACTGTCAGGAAGTGACTTTAGGAGGAGACCTGGTCCAGGTGACACCAAGTAACTGCCTCTCTCAGGGTCTGAGAGAAGCACCATTCAGGTGAGCTGGGAGCTTTAAAGAAATTACCATAAGTTTACAGGGTAAACTTATGTTTGTTTTATACTTTATGTTTAACTTATGTGTTATTTATGCTGGACACTGACAGCTGGCTCCAGAGCATAGCATCTCTCCTTCACCCTCTTCTGAACAGAGGTGAGATGTTCTGGCTGGAAAGAGTGACTGGAGCTGCTGCCCTTGTCTTCTTCCTGCAGTTAAATAAGGGTCTGAGCTCCAGGGTTAACTGTTGAGCTCTAAATCCAGCTCTAAGAATAAAAGCTCGTCTGAGCAGGAGCTGGGATGGGGTATTTACTGCACACCCACATCCCACACAGCTCTAGGCCACTCAGCTTGGCTGGAAGGGATGGTGCCGTGCAGGGAATGATGGGGGCTGTTGCCCAGCTCCTCGGGATGGTGAAAACACCCTGCTGAAGGCTGACTCTCTGCACTAGCAGGTGATCCCATAAGGCTGCCGGGTCATCGCAACACCCACCTCACCATCACTGAGCAGGACTTGTTGCCTCCCAGGGTCTATGCCCACAACCTTGCCTTGTCGGAAGCTGTCCCCAAAGGTGACGGAGTAGGAGATGAAAGTCTTCTTGGCAAATCCTGTGGTAAGAGGAGACAGCAGAGAAGAGCTCTTCCTCTGTGGAGGCTAACAAACCCCTCCTCCCTTCCGCCTTCACGCCATCCTTGCTCAGACCAAAGCACAGCATGTACCTGGGACCTTGGGCTATGCTGTGTTAGTTATCTCCGCCCAGCAATGAGCTTTAGGACCTTTGCCTCCTGGTGATAAGATCAGCTCCTCGGGTAATGCCCTTTCTTTGTCTCTGCTCCCCATATCTCCTATACTGGTTTGCCAGTACGTGCTTCTGTGGTCTCAGGAATTCCAGGCTGGGCGTCAGAGGCTTTTTTCACATTATCTGTCTCTCAGAGCAAGCTTTTACTATCCTTTTGATGATTGTTCCCAGCCTTGAACATGAGATTTTCCCCCTAAATCCCCAGTGGCTGGAGTAGTGGGGTTAGCCCAGCCTCCCAAGTGAGATTCCAGACAAGCCTTAGCACCTCTCCAACAGGATTTTATCGTCCAGGGCCTCACTGCTAAGCTGCTCGACATCTCCGGGGCCAGATACAGAGAGTGATTCATTCAGCCTTTCCAGCTGCTGCTGCTTTTAGCTTAGTCACCCACTAAACTCTTGAAACAAACACAAAGGGATAGTCTGAGTAGCTTTTGCCCAGTTTTCCCGGCGGATCCGCAATTAACTTAACACAGACGTGCCGTGGGTCCTCCCGGAGCCAAGTACTTGTTTTCCAGACGGAAAACGAGCCTCTCAGCACGGCAGGGGCGGGGAGGAGGCGGTGCGAGCGCCCCGTTCCCCGCCGCTCCCGGGTAACTCGGCATCCCCCGGTGGCACAGGGGGAGCTGCCGCGGGGGGGTCCGGGGTGGGCCGAGCCCTTACCGCTCTCCACGGCGGCCCGGAGCGCGGCCACGTTGTGATGGAAAGCATCCCTCGCGTCCACCAGCACGAAGGGCACGGCCCAGGACTTGAGCAGGCTGGCGGCCGCCGTGCCCCCGAAGCCGCCCCCGACCACCACCACCCGCACGGAGTCGTCCAGGGACAGGCGGGACCCCATGGCAGGGCAGGGCAGCGCCGGGCTCCGCGGGAGCGGGGGCTGTCCCGGGGGAGCACAGCCTTCCCGGGCGGGGCTGCGGGGCGGAGCTGGGCTCCCGAGAAGCTGAGCCCGGCCTCTGGACCTCGGCTCAGCCCGGGGGGAAAGCGTCCTGCCAGGTGAGTGCCGGAGAGCGGAGCGCTTCACCCTCCACCTGCCCCAAGTGCCCTCCCCCACGCGAGAAGCGGGGAGCAAGGATCTTACCAACCGAGGGCTGTGTTCTTGAATTCACAAGTCTGCGGGTGAATTAACGCGGCAGAGGGTGTCTCACTCCATCAGGGAAAATAACCCCTTGGAGAGGGGGATGATGATCACAGAGTCATCACCGAATCAATTAGGTGGGAAAAGACCTGTGAGATCACCGAGTCCAGCCTGTGACTGAGCAGAAGTATGTCAGCTAAACCATGGCACTGAGTGCCACGGCCAGCCTTTCCTTAAGCGCCTTCGGGGCGCCGATTCCACCACCTCCCTGGGCAGCCCCTTCCAGTGTTTAATCACTCCTTCTGTGAAGAAATTCTTCCCGACGTCCAACCTAAACACAGAAAACAGATGTGTCTGCTCTGAGTGGAGCAGGAGAGAGGGCTGTGCGAGGGGGAGAGAGGGGAGATCACAGAATCACAAAATATTTTGTGTTGGAAGGGACCTTAAAGACCATCTAGTTGTAACCCCCCGTGGACAGGGACACAGGATGAGCTCAGCATCAGCACGGTGGAGACAGTGGGATCTAAGGAGGAGCAGGGAAGGGCTGAGGAGGTAGCAAAGGCCCCTGCAGTAGGGGAGCAGGGAGTGGAGAAGGTTGACGGTAAAACGTCCAGACCGTGTTCTTCCGCAGCTCGGAAGTGGCCCTGAAGACTTTCGGCTCCTGTGGCATTCCAGATAAATATAGCTGCTGGCCATGTGGATAAATATAGCTGCTGTGCACACTGAGGTGCTGTGAGCTGGCAGAGCCGCCCCCGCGCTGCCCTGCTCCTCGTCCTCCTTCAGCGAACCACAGCCCGCTGTGCCAAACCCCCTCCCAGCGGGGTCCCCAGCAAACATCCCCCCCAGCCTCGCGGCAGGGAGACGACGAAGGAATTCGCATCTCTTCCCGGGAAAGCAGGGCCTGGACCCAGGATTGCCGCCAGAGGGTGCAGCCGGCCCGGCCGTGGGGACACGGGACGCGGGGGTCCCAGTCCAGGGCACCCTCCCCTCGGCCGCAGGAGGGGCTCGGGGGCTGGGGAAGGAGGCTGACAAAAGGGTGAAAAGCACTGGGGGACGTTCCTGATCCCCACACTGTTCAGCCCGGAAAAGAGCTGGGAGGGAAAGGGTGGAACAGCTGACAATAAAGGTGGAGGGGAGGAAGGTCCTTGGTGAGAAAGCCCCACGGCTTCGCTGAAATACGCCCAGGGCAGGTTGGTGCTGTTTGTTACACAGGACTGGGCTGGAAATGCTAAAATTTTCAAGGGGAAAAAAGTAATTTTAGTTAATGCGTGCAATATAAACCCTCCAGAGCTGCTAAACATCGAGGCATCTGTCCTGGCCAGGAAATCCACGAGCTGTGAATGTCCAGAGGCTGGGAAGTATCCCCAGGGTAACAGTGCTCCAGATCTGCTCCCTGTCCTCTCTCCTGGTACTGGCTGCCAGGTACCATGGTATCACTGTGAGGAGGTTGCTGGAAGAGCCTGGCAATGGCCAGCTTTGGGAAAGCACAATTCAGTGCAAAAACTGTGAAAAAAACAAACCTGCCTCCATTTCTACAGGGATGAACTCTGCAATCAAAACCTGGTTTAAGCTCTTCCCTCAAATTACATGGCCAGGCTTGTTTGGCACTCAGTGTGTGTGAACCCAACCCCTTCCTGTCAGGGCTGTCCTTACCTCCATAGCTTTCCTGACGCTTTTTCCTGCTGGACTAAAGCTGGATCAAAGGCCCATTCTGAGCAGATGAGGATGCTGATGATGAGTCGCCACTTCCCATGTGCTGCTGCCCTCTCTCCCCTTTTCTCTGCACCCTTGTGCCCAGTTCTGGCTTTTCCAGAGGCAGTTTGGGGCTTTTCATGCCAGGCATTTGCATATATTTTGCAGCACATACCCACTGCTGAGAGCAGCCGATTACTCCAGGAGCATTCCCCTGATTTCCCCTATCACCTGGTGTGATCAGGAGAATCCAACTGGACACCAGAAGATCAGGGCAACCTTCCAAAAAAAAGGGGGGAAATATCTGGGCCAGTGAGTTGGAGATGCCAGTGAGTTGGCAAAAAGGGTGCCCAAAGCAAGCAGGGAGGGTAAAAGGAGCCATTATGAAAACCTCACATCCAGCCCCAGGCAAACAGGAAGAAACTCGGAGTGGCCAAGGCTGCTGCTTGGGTTTGGCAGAGGGGATGTTTTGATGATATTTTTCTGTCTGGCTGCAGGCAGATGGCTGAGGTGAAAGCCGCCCAGCCTCAGAGATGGGTTTGCCTCCTGCTGGTGATCTATGGGGCAGAGGCAGGCGGGGGAGTCCAGGGGCAGGGATCAGGCTCCCTGGGCTTTTCCTCACATCTGGACTGAATGCTCCCTGTGGGATGGCAGGGATCCAGTGGGAAGGAAGAGGTGTAAGGAATGGGGTCTGTCACTCTGAGACAGGCAGCATGGGTATATATATATGTATCCTCTCCTCATCAGGTTTAATGCAACATCAGCCAGAGCTAATAATCCCTCTGAGAATGACTAATCCAAGGATGGGTACAAAGGTGCTGTGTGGGGAGACCTTATGATCCCACAAGTGCCCCTGCTCTGCACTCACCTGAAGCCCCCTAAGCCAGGGCCACCTTGTCCTGCCCACCAAGAGCATCAGGGCACGTAACTTTGCAATAGCCCAGACAGGCTGGAAGAGAGGGAACATCCTTCCCTTCACCCTCCGCTGGAGAGTTGTTCTGCCACCTGGGCCAGGCTGAAGGCCCCATCCCAGCTGGCCAAGCCTGAGCTGCTGGAGACACTGTTATTGGCTCACAGCCATCTCTGCAAACCCCCAGATCCTCCCCTGTATCAGCAGCCTCACACAGCACGTTCCCTCTGCCCACAGACATGTCCTGCACATCGTCCTGCGACAGCCCCGGTGGCACCAGCATGGCTGCAGCGCTTGAGCCTCAGTGAAAGGGGGATCTTGAGTCTCTCGGGGATGAGGGATTGATTGCTCTAGGCAAACTGCTTTGCTTCTTCTGGCACCTGCCCCACGGTTCCCCCCTTTTTCCTGGGCAATCTGTTCCCCCCCCCCCACATGCCTCAGGGATCTCTGCTGCAGCCAAGGTGGAGCCGAGTCAGTTCAGGGCAAAGAATCGCCTGGAAAAACCAATTCAGACAGTTCCTGGCTGCTTTTAAACATCAACACTGGCCATTTTATACCTCATAAACAAAAATCTACTTTTAGCAGAAATCAACAAGGCCCTGTTTTATTTATTCTCTCCCCAACAAACCTCATTTTTCCTTTTCGATTTTTCAGTGACACTGGCTTGGGAAGACAAGGTGCTTCTCATGGGCCATAGCACCAAAATCACCTTATTTTAGTCAGGCTGGACCAGTCTCTTGTATTTATAGGCAGCGCCTCTGGACGTACCAGCCTGTAAATTGGTGGCAGATCCCACCCAGAAAAGTGATTCAGGGAAAGCCCAAAGGTGAAATGCAATGGTCTCTGCAGTTCAGATGATCTTTGTATCCATGAGAAGAGCCACAGGGAGCTGGTAGCAGGGCTCCAGTCCATCCCAGGGCCGTGCCACGACTCTGTTCTCCCTGTTCCTGTGATGGCAGCAGGCTCTGTGCCAAGGTGCTCCCCAGCTCCTCTTTCCCTGCAGTGCAGTGGGATGAGTTTGCCAGGCTCGGTGTAGTGATGGGCTTTGTCCCACCTGCCATCAGCACCTACAAACTGGGGCTCTCGAGAGGCTCATCCCAAGGCAGGTTTTGGGAAACCAGGGATGGCCAGGCTCATGTCAGCCCCCAGCATGGGATGAGTAGGGGCAGAGCCGGGGTTGTTCTTCCCCTTGGAAGAAACCCCAGCTCAAACAGCTCCAGCAACTGCCTTGGGGTTTCATACCATGCAAGTCTTCCCTACCCCTCCAGAACCAAGTGAGGGAATGTTACAGAAATGCCATTTTGTGGGAATTCACCCCTGGTTGTGCTGTGATCGAGGCAGGTGCAACAAGGACCTTTATCAGCTTTATCCAGGTCAGCTGCCTGGCTGTAAGGATTGAGGGGATCTCCCCGGAAACACTCTTCTCCTGCAGCAGAGGAGCCCATGGACTGACAGTGTGGTGACACCTTTCTTTTAGGGGACAACACGGTTTGCAGCATTAATCCTTGTGGGGTAGTAGAGAAGCATAAATGAATTCAGCAGCTGGGTTTTCCTGGAGAAAAGGGAGAGGGCTTGGGCAAGTTCCTTTGCTCTCAGGGCAGGTTTTGAGAAAGAACAGCTTTCACTTATGAATTGTGGGGAATTTTCTCCTTCCTTCCCCCCTCCCCCCCCAGATTTCACTGCAGCGAAAGCATAGCGTAGAATAAAACCCTGTCCTTAAAAAAATCGGCCTCACAGACAGGCAGCCTTTGTCTGAAGGTGTAATTACAGGATAAATATGGGATGCAGACCAAGAAATGCAGTCTGGTCAGGCATGCAGTCTCTTGAAAAAACACAACAGAAAACAAGGCTGTCATTTAATGCCGAAATCTCCACGTGTGCTGCAGCCCTCACAGGGTCCCTCGCTGGCCCACGGGTCTCCCCACTGACCCAGTGTTTGGCTGTGAAGCCACAGCCTGGACCAGCTCCCTGTGGGAACTGCACCGAGCCCTGCAATGGAGCGAAGGGCAAGGCTGGATCCAGCCTCCAGGAGAAGCTGGATGAGGGCAGGAGATTGCTGGGATGATGGGTTTCCTTCCCTCCAGCCCCTCTGCACAAATCCCATCTGATAACCCTGCGAGGAGACACGGGGGGATTAGCTCATCCGATCCCATTAAATGGAGCAGGAGCAAGCGAGGAGAAGGGAATGGGGGGTCAGGACAACGGCAGAGCAGCCACAACTTCTGACATTCGGGACAAACCTCGTGCCGAGCTGGAAAAAGGCCTTTTTGTGGATTTCTGTGGGCCAACCTGGAGGATCTGCTTCATGTTCCAGCAGGGCCACCTGGGCATTAAACTGTGGGGCATCTAAGCTGGCATTTCAGGGACTTGCCCATCTTGACAGCTCTCTTCCCTGGCAATGGCAGATTCTGCCTCAAGCAAGACCTGCCTCTCCACGGTAATCCCAGCCATGCCATCACAGCCACCCCTGAGTGCATCAAGGAGGCAGAGAAACAGCAGGATGTACCTGCCATCCAAAGTCAAGTCTGGATCAGACCAGTGAGGGAAGCATTGCCCTACAAAGATCCCATTGAGAGGAGAACATCAAGAGCACATCCGTCATTTATTAAAGCTCTCATTGTTGCTACATCATTTTGTGTCACCTGCAGTGACCCCGAGGAGAAGCAGTTTTGGCAGGTGGCCCTGCCCCAGGGGGAACGTGTCCCCTCGCTGCTCTTGGGGTTCTTGCAGAAAGGGTCTCTTTGGTGACAACAAGCATCACCACAGTGTGTCCGATTCCCCACAAAGCACAGCTGTGGCAGAGGCAGTACAGCTGCAGGTTGTTGAAAGGGTGGGAAACAGGGTGCTTACTTTAAGGCAAGCCCGAGCCTTCCAGGTGTGTTTTATTTCTACAAGCTTAAATCCCTGGAAAAGAGGGTGGTTTGGTTTTTTTTGTGTGTGAAGGGAGAAAGGCTGTGTTTGCTGCAGCTCCTGTTGTGGGCTTCCTGCGTGATTCGTCTGGATGCAGGTATGTCCCTGCTCTAAGGCTTTGTCTCTTGCTGTGGCTTTCCCAAGGAGTGCTTTTCTTCCCAAATCCGTGCCTGTCCTCCTCTAGGGAAAGAGCTGAGCAAGGCCTGGCAGCAGCCAGAGCAGGGGGAGCAGGAGGTCCCTCTCCTGGGGGGACAAACCTCCCCCTAGTCGGCACAGGGGGAGTTCAGCTGCTCTAGTCTCGGGATGAGCCGCGTGTCGCCCGTGGCTTCCCGACGCGCCTGGCACCGGGCGGGAGTCACGGCTCCGCGGGTTTAATGGGAGCAATTAGCCCCGCGGAAATCTGCATGGGTCGGGGGCGTGTTTTCTCTCTGTCCTGCGACGTTTCTGACGGGAAGCTGGAGGGTATCCAGGGACGAATGCTCGTGCTTGGCTAGAAATGACAGGCTGGGGCCAGCCGGGGCTGAGGCAGCCCAGGTGAGAATGGTTGGTTGTCACTGTCCCCTCTTGGCCTCGGCTCAGCCCAGCACCCGGTTCCCTCGACACTTGCTTTGTATTTCCCTGATTTGCGTGTCCTTGGCCCCTGAACCTGGATTTTCCCAAGCCTCCCGGACGCTGGATGGGAGGGGGATGCTGGGCATCCCCTCCCCGCCTGTGGCAGCTCAGTAGCTATTCACCCGTCGTGCCGTTTTACAAACGATTAATTTAAACTCTATTTTCTCTGCAAAAGCCAACCTAGCGGTACTTTCCCAGAGGGATTTGCCCGTGACCTGGGTCCGGCCGCGTTCCCCCCCAGCTCTGGCTGAGTTCTGTGAGCTTCTCCCGGCGCTCAGCTGCGGAATATCCGTCCGACCTCAGCGACCCTGCCGCTTTCCCAGCAGGAAGCCTCCAAACAAAACCCGATTCACTCAGCAAACCCAGAGCTGCTTGTGATGCCGAGAGCTGTGTGCGAGGCAGGGAGGGGGCTGACGCTCTCCACCGCCTGTCAGCGATGAGGGTGCGCCAAAAAAACGCCCGCTTTTGCACCCTCTCCCCATGCAGCCCGTGTCGAGCGCCCTGAATTCACACCTTGAGGGCAGATGATGCCCGGCCCCGCTCGGAAAACCTGCGCCTCCGGGGCGGGCGGGTGGCTGTGCAGGGCTCCGGCGCGGCTGCTCCCCGCCGGCCGGCCCCGCGCTCCTCAATGCCGCCTCTGTTCTCCCTCCGGCGTCAAAAACTCGGCCTTTGTGAGCTCAGCCCAGCCGCAGCCCGTCGCTGGAGCCCCAGCACGCTCCTCTCGGCCGGCAGAAGCACAGCCCAGCTGTGCCCAGCCGCCGCCTCGTTTTATTTATTTATTTTTGCTTTCTGGCCAACAGTTCCAGTTTGGGGAGAGGGGGGACGTGCGGCTGCTGGGAGCCTTTGGGGCTCCTCAGCAAGTCTTAGGTGGAGGCAACCGTTCTCCTCCACCAAAACGCCTGGCTTCTCCCTCAGGTGGCTGCTGTAACCCAAAATGCTCAGGGGAGGAAAAGGATGTGCTGCAAAGAGAGCTAAAAATGGGCATTTTAATCAGTGAAATGTGAATTGGATGGGGTAGTTTGGCATGGGGTGAACGTCTGCACGTGGCAAACACCCTGAAACTCCCTGGGCCTCCACCAGGTTTGGTCACCCCCCCAGTGCTGCTGGCCTGTATTTCTGGGGCTCCCCCTGGGGCAGGGTGCACCCACCAATGCTAAGAAGACAGGGGAGGCTTTGAACTCTGTACTGGTGTTTTTGTTTTTTAATCAAGTAAGTCCGACCATCTTTCAGCACCGCCGAAGTTCGCAGTCGCTCCCTCGCGGGGTTTGGGGGGTTTACAGCCCATCAGTCCCTGGGGGCTCTCCCAGGATCATACAGCAGGACATGTGTTGATCTCCAGCCAGAATGAGACCTCCCTTCTGAGTGTCTCCCTGTGTCTTTGTGGTATGTTGTGCTGCTCTGATTTTTGGGCTTAGCTCTTCGACCAGCCTCCCCCCTCCTTTTCACATAATAAATAAATAAATTCACCTGGTATGCAAATACACAGGAAAAAAGGGAAAAAAAAAAAACAACCAAACCTCCCAAACCAAGTTTGAAGAGCAGCAAACCACAAAGTCACCTCATTTTGTTGCAGCCCAAGTGCCGTCCAGGGCTCCGCGGGCAGTTCCCAGTCTGTGCTGGTGTATGAAGGCACAAAACCAGTAAGGCCTCTGGGGTCTGTGTCTTTGCTGGCACCACAGTGATCTTGTCCCAGCTGGGACAGGGAGAAGCAATGCAAGGTGCTTGGTCCTGTCACCCTCTGCTTGCCCTCACCCTCCTCTTCCTCAGTGCAGCTCCCGAGCTGGGGAGGTGGTCCTGGTGCCGAACCCACTGCCCCTCACCCTTGCCTCTTCCCCGTTTCCAGGGAAATCGTGTAATTCAGGCTCTGCAGGACTCTGGGGTCAGCTCTGCCAGGATGCTCCGGCTCCTGGGGCTGCCACGTGGCAGCAGCCAGGAGCATTTTCAGGAGCAGGGACCCCCAGGTCGTCTCCGGACCGGCCGGGAGCAGGGCCGCAGCCCCTCGTTCCGCCCCGCCGCTGTCCCCCGGTGCCGTTACGTGACCCAGGAGGGCTGTGCCTCCTCCAGCAGGCTGAAGGAGCGGTTGGCCAGCTCAGCGGGGCTGCTGGCCAGCTTGTAGCCAAAGAGCTGCATGGCCGGGGCGCAGGCGTCCTGCACCACCTGCGCCAGCTTGAAGGGCATGCTGAACCGCCACTTCTCGAACTGCTCCGAGGAGTTCTTGCACGTGGAGTAGACGCCGTTGCCGTCGTGGGGCGCCTGCGTGTTCTTGCCGATCCACTCCTCCACCTGGGGGGTGAGGGGCAGCCCGGCGAAGCGGTACATCTGCTCCGCCTTCCGCAGCGGCGCCCGCGCCACGTCCTCGTAGCGCACCAGCATGTACCGGCCCCGCAGCCAGCCCGGCCGCCGCAGCCCCAGCTCGGCCGACACGCGGATGCTCTCGCAGTTGCCCCGCAGCCGCTGCACCTCCTCCTCGTGCAGGGGAGCCTCCCCTTCGGACGCCCACTTCTTCCAGGTCTCGTACTTGCCCGAGAAGGCCACCATGCGGGAGGCCAGGACGGCCCGGGGGTCCCGCACCAGCTGGATGATGCGCAGGTCCAGCCGAGGGTCCTCCACCAGCGGCTGCAGAAACTCCAGCTGCCGGACGCGCACCGTCTTCAGGGCCACGTGCTGCTTGCGCCGGCACGCCTCGGCGGCCAGGGTGATGTTGAGGGGGCCGCAGCGGCGGTTCTTGCAGTAGTACTTCTCGAAGACCTTCTTGGTGCTGGGCGTGCAGACGGGCTCCTCGCAGAGCGAGCGGCTGGAGCCCCGCCGAAACAGGAAGGGCGTCAGGTGGCCCTCGGGCGCCGGCGAGATGAAGTTCTCCAGGATGTAGAGGTCGCAGAGGAGGAGCTGCTTGAGGACGTCTCGGTAAACCAAGGCCGAGCCCACCGCGCTGGCTCCCCCCGGCAGGAAGGACACCGTCTTCTCGACGTGCCAGAGCGGCTCAAAGAGGTAGAAGATGCTGCCTTGCTGGTTGAAGAACTCCCCCACGAAGGAGGAGCCGGTGCGGGTGGTGGCCATCAGCAGGACGTGCCGCCGCGGCCCGGGGTCTGTGTCCCCTGCCAGCTGCAGGGTGAGGTTGTTCAGGTGGGACCTCAGCTGGGAGAAGGCAGCGTCCAGCTCCTGCAGCGAGGCCAGTGAGCCATTCTCGGCCGGCGCCGGGCTGACCTCTGTGACGTTGGCCTCTGCCAGTGCCTGAGGGGACTGCTTCAGCTTGTCTGACACCCTGTGGGGAGACCCAGCCCAGCCTGGAGGAGAACGGGACCACCCCTGTGTCCCAGGGGGGGATTTGGGGGGCCCCCACTGCACAGGAGCTCGGGATGTGGGGGAAAGAAAGGGTGAAAAGCATGGGGTGGCTCAGGTACCCGCTCCCTACCTGGAGATGAAGTTGTTCTCCTTCTCGATGATGACAAGGCTGACGACGAAGACCAGCAGGACGGCGTACTTGCTCCTCACCTTCAGGAAGTGCAGCAGCTCCCGGACATCCTGGGGTAAAGCACGTCGGATCTCCATGGGGAACACACAAACGTCCCTCCCATCCACTGGGAAGGTGTCCTGGGCTAGGGCATCCTCTTTCTTGCCAGGCCTGCCTGTGGGGAGAAGAATGGTCAGCATGGTGGTGGCTCCCTGCAGGCAGGGTCAGAGGCTGAACCTTCCTGAGAAAGGCTTGACAAGAGCGGTAAAAAAGGGGGAAGCTCCTTCCTACCGCTCCATTCCACCCCTAAGGAGCAGCTGCAAGAAGAGGAGGCCCCATCAGCTGCTCCCCCTCCTTCCCAAAATACATCTGCCCGACAGGACCCCTTCCCACGCTTCCACCAGCCACCCCTGCCTGCCCTGAAACCCAATCCCCTCCGCCCTGACAGCTGCCTGCTCCCCGCTGGCAAAACCTGCTGCCGGCAGCGAGGGACCCCTCGGATCATCCCGGTCTGTGGCGCGTTCTGGCTCCCAGCCTTTGGAAAGAGCTGCTTTTGGGGAGGGTTGGAGGCTCCGCTGCAGGGCCCTGTTGTGGGGCCGCGTGGCTTCCGCCTTCCCCCAGCACAGCAGCGGCAGCTGCTCAGTACTGAAAATGAAACCCAGAGTTTCCAGGAACGATGACGGGCTGGAAAACGCTGCTGCTGCCAGTCCCCTTCAGGGTGTAAAGTGCTCTGGGTGGCGGGGGGGTTTTGCCAAAAAAAGGTAAAAAAACCAAGTTGGTGTGGGATGCAAAAGCAGGAGACGTGGTATCCCCGCCTAGCAGAAAAGACCCCCCTGCATCCTTCCTCTTCCTCCTCCTCCCACTGCTGAAATCGGGGTGTTGGGGAAAACCGGTCTGTGTTGCTCCAAACCCATGCAGCAGCTGGGATGTGGTGGAGATTTTGGGGGCCAAAGCTGCTGTTTAAAGCTCTGGGGCAGGTCCCCAGCACGTGTTGAGTGTGCACTTTTACACTCCTAGGGCTTGCTGGCACCTGCTCCCTGCCCGCTGGTTCGCACGCCCGCACAGTTGTGTGGGTGACGCCGTTTGCTCGTCCTGCTTTCTTGGCCAGACTTTCAGTGACTCAGGGAAAGTCTATTTGGCTTTTGTTCGGCTCTGCCAGCATGATCCCAGCAGCCCGTCCCACCCTTGCTTTCTGGGGTGAAAGGGGGAGCCAGGCACAGCCCCATCCTTTTGGGGAGCGCCGGGTTTTGCCAGAGGGGACATGCCCTGGCTGAGCCGCGGTGCCCGCGTCCCTCGGCAGGGTGTGGAGCAGGGAAGCCCTGCCAGGCATTGCGTCACATCCCAGCCTCCTCTGCATAGTGCTCGGCCAAAATGTGCTTTTTTTGGTGTTGCTCGCTCTATGTCCCTCCCGCAGGGAAGGAGGGAGCATGGGCAGGAGGGGTGGAACGCACCCCGGGGCCAGGGCAGCATCCAGACTGTCCGGTCCCCAGTCCTCTCTGTGTGAGGACCGGGAGTTTCCTGGCTTGAGCAAACCATTCAGCTCTCAGGGCTTGGCTTTCAGCCATCCCCTTCCCAGTAAAAGCTTCTAAAAGGAGATACCCGCACCCACGCACCCGGGAAACTCAGGATTCAGTGGGATGCAGGGACTCTGGAGAGCCCTGGCAGCTCCCGAGTCCTCCCTCAGGGGCCCCCCGGCTTCCCCCTTCAGCGAGCGGCACCGACATCGCCCGGCACACGCGTGTGTGTGTTTAACAGCCCTGCTAGCTCTGTTTGTCAGCACACTGCTCCTCGGGGACAGACCAGCAGCCAGGGCAGGTGCCTTTCACCGTGTAGCTCCCCGGGTCCCCCCTCCTTGGTCGTGCCCTTGTGATGACAGGACTTGTCGGAGTATTTGAGGAACCGAGGAAAGAAATCAAACATACAAAGCCCTCGGTGTGCGGCCGCGTCTCTCAGCACACGCCAGAGTCGCCGACTTGGCCGTGGCAAAGGACTTTGGGGTTTGTGGCATCCCAGGGAGTGGTGGTCCCCATCCCTGCCCTCGCCTGGGGCTGGGGACAGTCCCCTCGCTGCCTGCAGCGTGCGTGCAGGGGGATGGCATCATCCGCTTCCTCAGACAAATCCCTGGGCAAAGCCAGCCGGGGGTTTTCCCCCTCTAATGACGCCAGCTGCCCGACCACAAATGAGCCACAGACCAGGAATTATTCACAGGGATGACACAGGGAGCCATGTCCAGCAGTGCTGGCAAAACCCTCATTCCCAGGCCTGGGGCAGACATAATTCATTAAATAAACAGCCGGCTGCAAACGTCCGGCCAGGGACCTGCGGGGCGACAGCAACAGGCGCAGGGGCCCCGTCAGGGCTGAGCTGCGGGGCTGGGGACACTCAGGTGACCTGGTGAGGCTGGTGGGGGCCGCTTGGCATCCCAAAGCTTTTCCTCGCTGGGGCCCATGAGGCACAGCCCCGACGGGGCAGCGTGCAAGCCACAAGCGTCCCTTTGTGAGGGGGAACAGAGGGGCTCTGTGTGCCCCGTGTGCTGCCCTCCGGGCTCCACTGGGATGGCAGGGATGAGGAGAACCACCAGGATGCTGCTGCCGCCCCGGGGTGCCCCACCAGCGACTGCTCTGCCAGTGTGAGCAGACTGACTGACGGACGGACAGATGGACATTGTCCCTGGTGACAGCAGGCAGGTGCCAGCCAGCGCTCTCCTCTTGCTCTGCACATCCCAAAGCAAAGAGGAGTAATCTCCAGGAACACTCAACAGAGGCGCCACCCTGGATAGCAGCACCCACAGCTCCTCAGATGCTGCTCCCTGACTTTTCCTGTCCTTCAGGCTGGAAGTGCTTTTCATTTCAGCAAGGACTGCTGCAATTCCCACTGCCGAGAGGATAAAGGATATATGGATTTCCCAGCTGAGTCAAAGCCAGCATAGGGGTGTGGGGTTTTGTTCCCCTGCAGAGCTGCCCAGATGGGATCTGCTACTTCCAGCAAGTTAACCTAACCCTGCCCCAGCAAGAAGGAAGGACTGGGATGGTGATGGAGACACCAAATCATTCCAGTCTGCTGGAACAAGCCAGTTCATGGGATGGATGTTCCCAGTGGTGGTGCAGGTGGGATGAGCAGAGCAGCGTAACCCCAGAGCAAGGACAGCAAGGCCCGTGGGGAGAGGAAGGAGCGATGGAATGCTCTTATCACCCTTCTACAAAGCATTTTGCAGGACTGCCTGATTGGGAGAGAAGAGCCAGAATTTTCAGCTTGGTTTTGGGCAAGGGAAGGTCTTCCAGGAAGCCTCGGGGCTCTCATCCCCCTCCTCTGGTTGCCCTGAACCCCCACCAGGTGAGCTCCAGGAAGGAAAGGCGCCTGCGGCTGGCAGGGGAAGTGAGCTGGAGGTGAGACTGGATGAAGTCACACTTTCCTCCAGTGACTCAACAGGCAACAACTGAACTTTGGACAAGGAATGGCAGTGAAGCACCTACGTGCAAGCTCCCTCCCTGCCCCAGGTCCCTCTGTCCATCCAGCCCTGACCTGCTCCCATGCAGAGCCCAGAGGGACCTGAAGCTGAGCTCACTGCCCCCTGCACTGCTGCTGCTCTGAGGAATTCCCTCCACCATCCTTTGCTTCATCAGATTTCCAGCAGACACCAGGGCCAGCAAAACACAGGGGTGGAACAACAAAGAGATAAGGAACATGGGCTTATCTGCTGTCTGCACTGCTCTTTGTCTGCAACCTGGGGAAAAAAAAAAAAAAAATCCTCTGTATTTACTCTATCAACTATTTCCGCTCCCAGCTTCCTCCCAAGGCTGGCTTTGGGAAACGTGCCACCAGAGCTTCCCACTTTGCTTTCATCTCCCAGTAATTTTCACCCTGGCCCTGGCTGTCCTCCAAGGCATGGCACAAGCACAGCACTGCTTCGGTTTGCCCCTGCAGCACATGTAAGGAGTCTGTTCGGACAGGTATTTTTTTGGTTAAAAACACGTCTGGTCAAGCTAAAAAAAGGAGGTGGGTTGGGAATGTCACCGCCTACAATGTTTATAAACCTGCCGAGAATAGCCACAGGCCTCATCAAATTGAAGCCTGGAAACTGCCCATCAGAGAAGAAAGTTTGGAACAGAAAGTCCTTCCTGGCTGAGGTTACACTCAGGAGCAGCAGCAGCGGGTGCTGGTGCAAACAGGCACCACGGACACAACTCTGTTTTCATTGCATGAGCTCTCAAACTCCAGATGCACAAGGTTGCCTCCTGTCCACCCTTTACTGTGCCATCCTGAGCTCTGGGGTGAACCAGATGAGCTGTCCTTGCTCCTTGTCTCCCAAGGAGACTGAATCCCAGATGGGATTTAGAGGCAGGTGTTGGCACAGTAACGCCGGTGAACCACCAGCACAGGCTTCGTGGCCTGGACGGACCAGTCTTGGCTCTCCCTCACCTTGGTGGTGTCCAAGAGATGTGTTTTCTCCTGACCCAGCAGAGAGGAGAGCTGCTGCTCCTGCCCCTGGTGATTGTGATGGGAGACACAGGGACATCTGTGCTGGGCATGGATCGGCCTCTGGGGTTGGATCTGGACCAGGAGGCAGTTGAAACACCTACCACCTTGAAACCAGCTTGCTGGAAACCGCAGGCACGGCTGGGGAGGGGGGTTTGCAAGAACCACCTGCAGCGAAGGTGAGCGACTGAACTGGCCGAGCCGCCGGGCAGCAAGGGGGTCTGGAGCGCAGACCACCAAGGCGGGCGAGGGGCCTGCCCGGCCCCGTGTGCCCGGCGCCGGCAGCACAATGCCGGCTGCTGTGCGTGCCGGCAGCCCCCGGCCACGAGGGGAACCGCAAGTGCGCGGCCCTGCCTCAATGAGCCCTTTCTCTGGGGCGCGGAGCCCGCGGTCCCTCCCACCGCCCCCCGCGCTCCTTCTCCTCGCTGCTCCGCACTAGCCTGGAAGCTCCTCCGCCAAACCCACCCCAAACGCCGGGGCACCGCTCTCTCTGTGCCCTGCTCCGCTCCCCTTTCACCCCGAGACGCGCGTCTGTAGCACTCCCGGCACCTCTGGGACGGACTGGTGGCAGTAGATGTTTGCTGGGGGGAAATAGTGACCCGTGCCCGGATCTTGGTGCAAAAATGAGTAGTCGTATGCTGAAGCAACATGGCAGATGTGGGAAAACTGCAGAGTTAATTCCCTGTCCTGGTGTGGTGGTGTGGAAAAAGAGACACTTTCCCCGGAGCAGCAAAAGCCAGGCTCGGTGCAAAGGCAGTGGGGTGCGGGCAGCTCCCGCAGATGTGGGAGCGGCTACTGAAATTCTGGCAGGCACTGAGTGGGGGCTCTGATGGGACGGTCTTTTTCACCCCAAGATACCCCCAATACCAGCCAGGTTCCCCTCTGGTGCCGTGAGGATGCTGAAGCCCCTGCTCCAGCAGAAATGCCGCTGGCTCTTGCGTGCCGGGAGCCGGCCGAGGGCCAGGGTGCCCCGGAGGCAGGAGGGGAAAGGGTGAGAACAACTTTCCAGTGCTCCCTGGTAGGGGCTGACAGGCCGGATGATGCAACTCCGGGATGGTTGTGAGAAAGTCTCCTTTTCCAAAGTCTCCTTCTGCCGCCCCAGCCGCGCTTCGCTCCGGACGGAAGCTCCGCGCCGCCGCCGCAAGACCTCGACTCTATCTATTCCATTGATTGCTTTTTCCCCTTGTTTTTCTTTCCCCGAAAGAAAGGCGCGGGGAGAGCTGCTGGGGCAGTCATGTGCCGGGAACACTCTCCCTCGGAGGCAGGGTGCTGGGATCCGGCGCTGCCCCGCTGCGGGAGCGGGCGGCCGGGGCCCCGCACCGAGACAAAGGAGCGGCCGAGGCCGGAGGGCGCACAAAGGACCCGGCGGAGCCCGGGGCCGCCCCGCGGGGGGATGCGGCCGCCGAGCCCCCGGGCTCCCCGCCGGCCCCTCTCCCTCTGCCCGAGGGGGGGATCGGGGCCGCGGCCCCTCCTCGCACGCCCAACTTGCCGCAACTCCCCGCCGCGCCGGGAAAGGCCCGACCCCCGCCGCCATCCTCCCCTCCGCCCCGGGGCTGCCGCTGCCCATCGCCCCGGCCCCCGGCTGCGCTCCGGCCCCGTCGGTCCCGCTCCCGAACCCCGCCGCACCTACCGGCGGTGGCTCCGCGGAGCTCGCTCGCCCAGTCCTGCCGTGCGGGAGGAGGGACGGCAGCGGGTCCCCTGCTTTTCTTCACGGTGCTGTCATCCTCCCTCCCTCGTTCCCTCCCTCCCCTCTTCGCTCCCTCCTTCCTTCCTTCCTTCCTCCCTCCCGGTGCAGCGGCGGGGGGAGCCGTCCCGGCGCTCGGACGCGGGTCCCGGGGCGGAGCCGGGCAGGGTCCCCGGGCCAGCCCCCGCTGCCTCCCCACTGTCCCCTCCCCGACACGCCACGCCGGGAAACCGGGAGTTGCCGGCCCCAGCCCCGGGATCGCTGGAAGGGGCCGCCTGGCCGCTGGGGTGGGGAAATGGGGGCCTGGAGCGCACAGACACTCCGGGAAACTCAGGGCGAGACGCCTCCCGGGCACCACGGTGTGATCTGGGCTGCAGGCTCGTGACTAGCTCCCTGACCAAGCGGGATCACACTGGGGTGGTCAGGGCTTTATCCTGCAAACCTCCAAGGATGGAGCCAGTACAACCTCTCTCTGCCCGCTGTCGTCCTGGAGTCCTTCTTATATCCACGTATATCTCTCCTGTCCCAGTTTTCACCATCCCGCCATGTGAGGAACCTGGCTCCATCTCCATGACCACCTGGTTGGAAGGTTCCTCCTGCTTATCCCCGGGCAAAACTGGCTTCAGGGTCAGCAGCTTTCTCCCCAAACTCCACTTTCTCCCCATACAGGAGCTTGGGGAAAGTTGTCCCCACTGTGGTGTGCTGTGCCATGAGCTCATGTCTGCGTGGTCCAGGAGGGCAGGGAGTGAGAGTGTCCTACTGGAAACAGCTCAGGAGCTGGGGGACACTGGCTGTCACTGTCCCCACAGGGCAGGCTGAGGGTTTGGAGCATTAAATCATACAGAAACGGCTGTTTTGGTTTAAGTGCAGAAATTCATACGTAAATACAGCTCCCCCAGAGCTCTGTAACGTTAGATAGCGAGGAGCTGAAAGACATCTGGCTCTGCAGGCAGGGAGAGATCCAAAAAACTAGTCCCCATAAAAACTTTCAGCCTTCTTTCACATTCCTGGCATAGTTTTTCTGCTATGCATGTGGCATAGGCAGAGAAATGCAGGTTTTCTTGGCACTGAAGTGCGAGGACCTGCATCGCTCCTCTGCAGCTTCCTATCAGCCAAGGTGATGGGGTCGGGTTTGCTCACAGAGTGCCAGTGGCTGGTGGCACAGCTGGCACGCAAACACCAAGGCAGGGAAGCCTGGGTGTGGTGTAGCCTCCATTCATCCATCCCTTCATCTGTTTTTCCTGTTTTTATCGTGCACCCACAGCAGTAACTCCGTGACCCAGCTGCAGGTAGGCACGGTGACTCCGGTACCCTCCTGCCGCGGCTCTGGCTTCCACAGCGTCACCGATGGAACTGGGGTGAAGGGCAGAGTCTGGGAAACTCTGCCTAAATGAGGCAAACCTGGGGCTTGCAGGATCAGGCCTGTGTGGGCTGTCAGGTTGATCATGTCAAAAAAGGAGCGGATAAGTCTGGCTGGCCGCACACCCGCAGGAGTTTTGTGGGGTTTGGAAATGTGGCGAAGCGCTTTCAAGCTCCTCGTTTGTTATTTCAACTGAAACAGGGAATTCTGCCTTTGATTATGCGGGCAGAGGAGATCTTGGTGAAAACACAACACTAATATGTAAATAGTTTTGAGATGAGGGCAGAGAGAGGCTGGTGGGGAGTCAGACACATTAGTGGGGTGTCACTGCTTTTGTGGGATGCTTTTGTGGTGGCGTCAGGGGGTGGCAGGAGCAGAGGAGGGATCTTCCCCCCCATATGGGGCACAACCTGGACTGAAGCCCACTCTCCTGAGCCTGGGATGTGCTCCCTGCCTGCTCTGCACACACACACAAACACACACACACGGGGCTTGGGGTGGAGATCACCTTCCTGCTTCATCAATAAGTAAAGCTGGCACAGGGAGAGAAACAAAGTGTCTTCTCCACCCCTCAAACTGCCGAGAGGGGCGACAGGAGAGGCAGGGAGTTGTGTTTCCTCCGCCCTTCGCTAGCTGCGGGATCACATTCCCTTTGTCCCCCATTCCTCTTCCCCAGGGATAACAGAGATCGTTCTCCTCGCTCCCTGTGTTGCACATGTGTACACACACACACACACATTCCATGCTGGAATAGCCAAGGGACCAGTCCCCAGAACGACATCAGGAGCAAGGAAAGCGGGATGTGTTCCTATAGCAACCAGGATGCTCTGGGGTTTCGGGGAATAGAGGCATCTGATGTTGATTTTCTGCCTTTGGTTCAAGCAGATGATGTGGTGGTGACCACACCTGCTTAAAAAAGCCTCCCCTGGTCTTTGCTCTGTTATCACCAGGGCAGTGTCAGCCTAGAAATCTTACCGAGATTGTCACCAAATTCTGTCCTCTGTTCTTCTTACACCTGAAGGTGGATAACTGAGGTTCTTGTTAATAGATCCCTTGGGGCAGATTAAAGGACACTGAATGACCAGTGTTTATACATATATATGTGTATATATATGTGTGTGTGTATGCCAGGTTTGTTTTGGAACAATTTGGGTGCAGTGGAAAGGAGGTGTGTACCTGTTTTGGTTATTATCTGTAGAAATATAGGAGTAGAAAAGTGTAAAATTATCGCTTAAGAAAAAATATAAGGAAAAGAACGAATTAGAAAAAAGGATAAGAGCAGACAGTGGAAAGATCTCGGCACCCCCGGATCCAGTGACGACACCTGATTGTTGCAATTTAGACGTTGATTGGTCTGAGTCTTGATCCGTTGGGGGTGGGGGAAGCCCCCAAATAATAGAGTTCAGTGGGTTAATATTCACTCAGGTTCGTGTGGGAACGCCCAGGTACCTCCCCTGAGGGGGGAGTTTTACACTGCCATGTAACACTGTGGATCCTGTGCAGTTCTCTAGTGGAAGACCCAGGATTGAATCTGGGGGCACTTCGGGGGTCTTTGATGGTTTCTGACACCTAAGAGGTGACAGCTGCCTCTCGTGTCAGCGTGGGTTTGCCAGTGATGCCTTATCAGAAGGGTGTGAATGTCCCGGTGCCTCCCCCAGGGAGGAGTTTTACACCTGAACCAGCTAAGTAAAGGACGACACTGGCATGATAAAAAAACATCATCCCACCTCGCAGGATCTGCTTCAACAATTTGGGGATAAGATAGAGGCAATCAGTTGTTTCTACTTAATCTGTAGGGGACAAAATTAACATTGTGGGGGTAGATACTGAGTTAGTGTATAGGGAAGAGAATGAACAATTGGAGGTAAAAATGAGGTAATCAGTTAGTGGACAGGTAAGTGAAATTTTGTGTGCAAGCCTTTAGGTAATCTGTAAAGGGACATTGAATATCTTGGGGGTAAAACCTGGGATTATTCGTAGGGGACAGAATGAAAATTTGCAATAATCTAGAGGTAATCAGTGGGTTTTTTTGGGTGGTAAAATGTAGGCAATCAAAAAAATGCCTACAGTTGGGGGGTAAATCTTGAATCCATGAACCTTTTACCTTTTACCATTTTAAGGTAAACTGTGGTAATATACTGCAGACAGGTAGGGGAAATTTGGGGGATAAAACTTGATGTAATCAATAGAGGATAATGAATATTTTTGATGGAAAATATGAGGTAATATGTAAGGGAGAGAATAACCATTTTGGGGATAAGAGAGATATTCTTTTGGTATTAACCTGTAGGGGACAGATTAATCTGTATTAATCTGCAGAGGACAAAATGAACTTTTTCGGGGCAAAATTTGAGGTGTTCTGTAGGGGACCAAACCTACATCACAAGTCATTGCACAATATCGTCTTTTTATTTTAGAAACATTTAACTCAGAGAGCAGCAGGGCTGATCCATGTCCCAAACCACTTCCGTCCCTTTTAAGCGCTGGCAGCTCCATCTGCTGGGAGCAGAAAGAAGGAAACGATGGAAAGCAAATGCAGGGAGACATCACAGAATCATCGTGGAATTCCAGACTGGTTTAGATTGGAAGGGATCTTCAGGATCTTCTTGTTCCACCCCCCTGCCATGAGCCCTGACTCACAGAAGCAGATTATTCTTGACTGGATTAGGGGAGTGAATCAGCCCAGGGTGCTGAGAACAGCATGTGATGAGCCAGCCAGGCTGTGGGAGAGAGAGCACAGCAGCTTCAAACTGACAGAGAGCAGGTTTGGATGAGATATCGGGAAGAAATATTGGGTAGAGAGGGAGGCCCTGGCGCAGGTTGCCCAGAGAAGATGTGGCTGCCCCATCCTTGGAAATATCCAAGGCCAGGTTGGATGGGGCTTGGAGCAACCTGGGATAGGGGAAGGTGTCCCTGCCCATGGCAGGGGCTGGAACAATGTGATCCTAAAGGCCCCTTCCACCCCAAACCAGTCTGGAATTCCACGATGATTCTGTGGTGTCTCCCTGCATTTGTTTTCCATCGTTTCCTTCTTTCTGCTCCCAGCAGATGGAGCTGCCAGCGCTTAAAAGGGACGGAAGTGGTTTGGGACATGGATCAGCCCTGCTGCTCTGAGCTAAACGTTTCTAAAACTAAAAGGATGATACTGTGCAGTAATCTGTGATGTAGGTTTAGTCCCCCACAGATCACCTCAAATTTTACCCCGAAAAAGTTCATTTTGTCCTCTACAGATTAGCACAGATGTTACAGCCAAAATAACCCTCTCATTACCTCTATCTTATCCACACAACGTTCATTCTCTCCCCTACAGATTACCTCAGATTTTCCCCTGACTCTGAGAGCAGGAAAGCCCAAAGGATCCTATTTATTGGCGGAAGAAACTTTACAATTCCTCTTTTTTTCCTTTTGCTAAGGGAAATTCCCCGTGGATCACAAACAATTATTAATGGTTTCCCCTTCTGCCTCTGAAGAGGGAGAAGGTTGATCTCAGTGCCAGGGTGCAGGTGTATCACCCTGGAGTGGGTGGGGGTGTGCACAGCCAGCCCAGGGTCCCCAGTTTTCCAGCTGAGTGCCTGTCCATGACCTGTTCCTGGCCTTCCCAAGGAAAGCACTCCCAGGTGCTTTCATGGGAGCTCTAAGGACTCCCTGGCTATGGGCTGATATGGGAAAGGCAGCGGTAGGAAAATCCTT